GATACGTAGATAGATAGATAGATAGATAGATAGATAGAAAGATAGATAGATAGATAGATAGATGGCTAGATAGATTGATTGATAGATAGATAGGTAGATAGAAAGACAGATAGACAGATAGACAGGTAGACAGGTAGACAGATAGACAGATGAAAGAGGGAGGGAGAGAGAGAGAGAGAGAGAGATAGATAGATAGATCGGTAGAAAGATAGAAAGATAGAAAGATAGAGATAGATAGATAGATAGATGGCTAGATAGATAGGTAGATAGATAGATAGATAGATGGCTAGATAGATAGATAGATAGATAGATAGATAGATAGATAGATAGATAGATAGATAGATAGATAGTCAGAAAAAGAAAGGGAAAGAGAGGAGACCTCAACCACCTTTCGGTCCATCAGCGGCTTCGCGCTGCCATCCTTGATTCACAACAACCAACTTCTCCTATAGGTTTCCTATTTTTGAAACTTCCGCCACCGCCTTGTGCGGTACTACTGGTATACATATCATAGACATATCATCTAAATGTCAAATACATATCATATAAATGTCATATACATATCATATGCTATATATACATATATCATACACATATCACACACATATCATACACATATCATTTACATATCATATGCAAATCGTATGCATATCATATGCATGTCATATACATATCATACACATGCCATTTACATATCATATACATACCGTATACAATGTAAATACATAGGGATTTATTTGTTGGATGTAGACTTGATTTGGGCTACATCTATAACGCATTGTGAGTGTAGACTGTGTAGACATGTGTAGACGGTTGCAACCTGCCTCCACACGTTTAGCAACAAATGGCACGAGCATCTTCAGGAACGTGACCTTTGGGAGCACCTTCAAGTAGTCGCGTTGTTGCTTATCGAGGCACGGAGGCTTCGATTCCTGACTCGTCTCTGGTAGAAATGGACCACTCTGGGGTTGTCTCAAGATTTAGAACCCCAAAATTCAATGATTGATCGTTTTCCACCATGCTCAACAATTTCAAATGGCAATTCTGCTGTCCCGCATGTTGAGACAAACCTGAGAAAACCAAGTTTCGTGAGGCATGTGGCAGAAGCCACAGCTGTCGTGCTTGTGACATTTATTGAATAGGAAGAGGATACAAGGCCGCGAACAAATATTTGGATGGCCGTAGCTTCCACGCGATAAATCCACCTGTCATGGAGAAAAAAACTCAGGTTTTCACTCTGCTTGGGGCTGAACAGCAGGTGACTGTTTTTCAACATGATTCAACAATCCACTCGCTAGCGACTCTGGTTTGATTTGATCGTTTGGATCCAGCTGCTATGAAGCCAGGTATTTCGCAAAAAATGTCCCAAACCATTCGTTTCCCTATTCACAATGACCACGATTGATTGCACAATATACCTTGGTGTCGCCCAATTTAAGAACCCGATGACAAAATGCCTGCCAGGAAATCACCGAATCCTCTGCGGCCAGGAGTTGGGATCCAAGCTGCAAATTCGACACCTGGCGTGAAAAACAAACACGAATCTGAATGCGGGCTGGTATAAACTATAATTCTACGTGTAAAACACACATGGATAGTAAAATTCTATCTATCTATCTATTTATCTATCTATCTATCTATCTATATATATCTCTCTCTCTCTCTGTATCTATATCTGTGTGTGTGTATGTATGCAGGTAACACAACATGTGTGTATATATATATAAGATCTTCCCAACCTTAAGCCTACTAGGAGTAGGTCCCACCTCACAATAGTTTTAAATAGATATTATTCCAACGTGGGGGTACCACTACACAATCCTAAATATAATTTAGATAGATATATATATATATATAGCCAACCACCGACAAAATAGTTACCAACAAAAGCCAAGACCACGTCAGAATAATTATGGAAATTAATCCGCAGGTACCGCCACTAGTATTCTTAAAATAGTACGGGTAGACCTTGAATAATTATGAATAATGTGTAATTGATCGTGCAAACTAATTTAATACTGAATGGACTCGTCAGGGTACTTCAGAATATTTTTGACGATACAGCAAGAATTATTCTGAGGTGGGACCAACATGCTGCCGATCAGTGAGCATCGTAGCTTCAAGTCATGTCAATTCAGTACAAGCGTGTTTTTCTCATTTTTCCCCCAGTTTTCCATTTTGGAAGCGTTTTTGCTCTTTGCTTGACGGAAACTACCACTTGCTTGCAGCAATTTCTTAAGCGAATCCTAAAAAAGGATCCACTCGGTCTGACTCCTCACCGTCTGCAATGCCAACTATTTGTAACGAACTTGAAAATTTTGGAATTAAAATGAATGGAAAAGGAATGTTCAATGTTCTAGAAGTGTCAAATTTTGCAATGTCCCTCTCCATACATGTGCTGTACAAGCGTCACTGGGTGAGGATAAGGAAATTTGGGTGCTGCCTAAAAAGCACTTGGCTTGTTTTTTCTTTGGATTGATTTCATCAGCCTTTGAGGGGGAGGAAGAAAGCAACAATGGGAGGGAGCTGGAGAAGAGGGTTGCAGGACAAGAAGGAGGTAGGTCTATAACTAGACACTTTTAATAACCTATGAGCAGGACACCTGAAAATGGTTGGTATGTTAAATGTAAATCTTTGGAATGACGAGTAAGTAAAGAAAAATGTTTCACATGTTTCTATATCTCCAAGCATTTTCAATGTGTTATGAAAATGGTTTGGATATATTGTCGTCTATTTTTGTGCTTTTTTTGGCTGATCTGTGTTACCAATTTTTGGGTAAAAATGAAAAATTTATTTGTTTTCAAGTTTGCGTTATTTTGTTCACTTAAAGCCGGGTTATGCCTGCGGAACGGACAGCAATTTTTGGCCCGTTCTCCGCGTGCAGGCTGACCTGGAGGTGGGTTGACAAGCCACATATAGTTATATGGTTATACCTCACTATATTTGAAAGATATATGTAAATTACTATAAGTTACTCTATACATAAACTATTATTAACGTGCTTTACATGTTTTCATCTTGCATACGCATTGTTTTCTCTAAAATGCGTCAAAAGAAAACAGAAAAAAAACATAAACAATACATATACATATATATATTAATATATATATATATATGTTATTGTATAATTAAGACCTCGGCTCTGTGCCCCCCGCACGGCCGGATTCGATCTTAGTGGTTGCAATTGGAGCGACGGCCGCGGGCTGCTGGCGCTGGTGGAGCTTGCGCCTGGCATTGCCTAACTTGTGCTCTGGGGGTACAGCGCAGGCCCTCATCACCATTGCTCCGGTCCTACGTGTACTTCGATTTGGGACAAGTACACGGCCATTTACTTTTTATCATCATAGCTGAACTGGCACCGCCCTGGCTATTTCGACTTGGTCCTCACCTGCGCTTTATGATTGATTCTCGGGCTCTTCTTTCCTCTTCTACTTGTACTTCACCATTGCGGCGACAACACATCCCAGTTGGAGAAGGCGATAGAGGCGCAAGAGAGCTCAAGCCAGACATTCTATTTGGCTTTTTCGACAAGGACATCTACCTCTGCGCAAATCCCAACATCAAGACCTTGGGTGCACATCATTCTGCAGATCCTTCATATTTGGCTAGGCTTCGCACTCTTTGCAAAGCTGCCGACACAATGGACGATTCCTGGAGATGTGTCAGGTGCTTCAAGGCGGTAAGCTGGACCCACCCGCATTGTCCTCATTGTGGCGGACGCTGAGAGAGATGCTACGAACAAACATATGTGGCACAGCAGAGGACGCCGCGATCCAACAAGAATCGGCAGAAAAGTTCGCAACAAAATGCTTGGGAATGGTCATGGGAAGAGGAATCGACTCCAACAAGACCCGCCAGTCTTTGCGAAGCGTTTCCACCAAACAGCAAGCACCTCGTCGTGGACGTCGGAAAGCACGGCCCAAGAGCCGAAGCAACAAGGAGAAGGTTTCGCACTATGCTGCACCAACCTTGCCGCCCCCATGGAAACCAGACAAGGACCTCCCCAAGGAGACAGCACAAGCAACCAGCTCTTCAGCGGATGCCGGGACCAGTGCAGAATTGGCTTTGTGTTTGCGAGAGGCATATCCAGACCCAAAGTCGATGCCCGAGAGTGCACTCAAGGCCTTGACCAAGGTGGACGTCAGATCCTCGAAGCAGACTCAGCTATGGCTACATTTGCTGCCGGATGAGCTGGACATTCCTAAGCCTGCGGCCCCGGTGACTGCGCGTGAGTACAATCGAGTTCACGCTTCGCGGAACTACAGGTTCAAGATGATTCAACGTCTATGCTGGCGACTCTTCTCTCGAGCACTTCCTCAACCGCTCAAAGATGACTATACGTTGCTCATCTCTATTCAGGTTGAAGCAGGGCAGAAGACTTTCACCACTGGATGTCCCAGTTGCTTGACCAGGAGGGATTGACTAATATCCGAATTCTTTCATTGGACACCGCAACCCATGATTGCATGAATGTGCACCCCATGAAGCTCTGGAACTTCCTCTTGGACATTGCGCGCTCTGGCCGCTTGATTGCTTTGCTCCTTAGGCCCGCCGTGCGGTGGAGCTCCGCGAGATTCGAGGCTATGCTAGCTCAACCAGGCGCTGCATGCTCTCTGGGGGCTTGCCTGGGCTGACTTTGCGTGAGCTTTTGCAAGTGAGTGTAGGGAACACATTGCTTCTCCGAGGGCTTTGGCTTTCTGTAGCGGTTGCACTTCATGGTGCTGCTGCTGTCTTAGAACATCCGGCGGTTCCATTCGAACTTCACAAACCGTCCATTTGGCGTGCCGCCTTGGTTTTGTTGTGGCTTCGTCGTCCCAATGCTTTGTTTTTCCAGAAAACTATTCAGCAATGGAGATATGGATCGCCCGGAGTGAAGCCCACCACATTTTTGTGTGCCAATGTGTCGATGAACGACTCATTGGAGCGATGTGCGTTGACTGGCATTGAGAAGCCCAGCACACCATTGATGATGACGGTACTTTTCGTACCTCCGCTGCCAAGGAATATCCTGCCGCGCTGAATCAAGCGCTGGCCATGGCCTTTTTGTCGGGGTCCAGCATTCGTCGCCTCCCAAGGCCTGCCGGCCTTGAGCGTACTTGGAGCCGAATTGGCACAGCTATCTGCCTGCCCGGATGGCGGCAGTTACCTGCCAGATTTCAAACGGAGCGCGTTTCGCCTCTGGTGTGAAGCTTTGCATGCCCAGCACGGGATTAATCTCAGAGGCTGAAAAAATATACATATTTACATAATTACAATATGGCACAATAAATTGAAATATGGTGTCTGGAAGGATTTCAGAATTGAAAAGGTAAACAGTCTTGATCATGATTGTATACTGCATATGATGCTTATTTCAAAGTAGGTACCTGTTTGTGATTGTTTGAAACTATAGTAACTATTTGCATCTATTATATATTCATTCCATTGATTCCGCATTCTTGTGGATAGACAGCAGGTGGCGTTGCAAAGGCCATTGGCAAACCAAATGATCAAATGGAAAAGGCAATGTAAAATTGGACGTGCAAAATCTGCGGTCGGACGCGCTATCATGGAAGCAACAACGACAAAATTATTCCGCGACAAGTGCAACTGTCACTCACGAGCCATGTGAAAAATCATTCTGATTATATGTGTTGTTCTCACTTACATTACCTTTGGGAAAAATCATTCTGGTAAAATTATTCCCCACACCTACTACCACCTCAGATTAATTTCGCATGGTGGATGATTATATAGGCACCAGAATGACTCTAGTGGTATGTATAAACGCATTTTTTCACAGGCGATATGCAGTTCAAAGTTAACCATACGTCCGCAGCAGCGATCCCTAAGCTGGTTGCTTGTTTCACTTTAGTAGTAAGAAGCTTCCAATGTTCTCTGTTTTCTGCAATTGACGAAGGAGATTCATGTATCTGATAATATGGTACCATTGTTTCATACTGGTGGAGGACAACAGGTTAAGTAATCCCTACCTCCCTTTACTAACCGTACCCCACATACTAAAAACTAAGGTCCGCGGCAAATTTGGGGAAATATCACAGACTGGCCAATTCAGTGCCAACATGGTGATGTCGTCCAACAAACAGTGCCCCTTCTGGGAAAACGATCCTCACTCTTGAGGGATCGACAATTAGCCACCAATAATGTCATTGAGTGGCAAAGAATTGGGGCCGGCCGCAATTTAGCAGGCCCCACAACCCCAAATGGCAAAAAGAGGGGTGTGGAAAAGTAGCAAAAGCAGCTGACCTCGAGGAGGCAGCCCTAAGGATTGGAAGGCACCAGCACTGGGCAGCACCGTGACTGTCTCCCGCATTTTGTGTAGGGAGGAAGAAGGAAAAGAAATCGCCGGCAAGCTCTCAGATGACTATGTCCATACAGGCGGCAATAGGAGCTTCTCACGCAAATGCTGCTTCGGCTGCAGAACAGCACGTGCACGGTAAGCTCGAGCCGTGACACTGAGTTCCTGCACCAGCTGCCCTTCCAGCTGGGCAGCATCGCTACCTTCCCGAGCGGCAACAGCACGAGCCACCCGTTTCAGGAACGCCGCAGACTGAGGTTCCCAAGCCCCAGTCGTTTCAGCAACCAGGGGTGTAAACCGGATCCCTTGTGAACGGCACACCTCAGCAGTCTGGAGATGCGCCATTTTCGTCCCCGCATAGGCAGTCGCCGCGGCCAACGCTTGCCGCGCGACGCCGTACCGAGGGTCTCCTGCCGCTGTGGGGCTGTGAAAGCCAAATCAAATGCAGTGGGAGATCCAAGATACGACGACGAACAAGTCCGCCGGTCGCCGCCCGCTCAAGTGGTGTTCATCCGGTAGGAGAAGCCCCGGCTTCTCCTTTTCTGGTTGAAAGCCAGCACGGGTGGTCCAGGTAGTAAATAATTTCGGGACAAAACTTTGTTTGTCGCGACTTGCGGTATTTCTCTCGCTGGGTCACAGTCATACTAGCGGCGCTCTGCCGCTTTTGCAGTCTTGTCTTCTTCTTGCCCTGGTGCACCTTGTTCTTGGCCTCATCATAAGGAGCTGCAACAATGATGTGTTCAGAAGGTGGAACCACTGAACCAACGTCACTGAGCTCACGAATGCATGTGGCTTCGGTAAAGCCGAGGCGAGTACGAAGGCGGTCAAGGGCAGAAATACTAGCAGCGTAATTCTCTTCGAGAACTTCGCCGCCGATGCTGATAAACTTTCCGCAAATATGCAGCCCGACAATCTTAAAAGATGATCCGCTGCGAATGAGAAGGGGTGCACCGCTGTACCCTTTCTCTGTGGACCAAGTGTGTGTGGAATAATTCCAGCGATTTGCTGACGTCCTTCAGAATCACACCCAAGAGTGCCCACTTGTAGCGGGTGCTCCTGGCCATCGCGTGCAGACCCGAAAATGTAGCACTTTCCGACGGTCTCACTCGAATAAGTGGAATCTCCCGCGGACTGAACACCCAATGTTAATGGGTGTAGAATAGGTTTTGGTATTTTTTGCCTCAGGTTATGGATTTGTTTATGGCTTTCTTTCCTGGTGCCATTTGCCTTGTCTTTGCACCAATTTGGAACTAGAACCTGTCATTTTGCATGATATTTGCTACATTTTGGCATGGTCACTTTGCATTTTGCATGGTATTTGCTACATTTGGCCATGTTTGCCTTCCATTTTGCATGGTGTTTGTCACATTTTGGCATTCCAACCTTTCATTTGCATGTTATTTGCTACATTTTGGTACTTCAATGGTTCATGTGGGTCTCTTGGTGCTTCTTTAGGCTTTCATTCAGGGTGTCATTTAAGGTTTATTTAGGGTTTCATTACGGGTTTTATTTAGGGCTTCATTTGGTGTTTTTTTTAAGGGTTTCATTTAGGGTTTCTTTGGGGTTTCATTTAGGGGTTCTTTACGGTTTCAGTTAAGGTTTCTTTTGGGGTTTCTTTAGGGTTAGGGCGTCTTTAACATTTAATTTAAGGTTTCTTTCCGGTTTCATGTAGGGTCTCTTATCGGGATTTCTTATCAGGAGTTCTAAACGTTTATATAAACAGGTTTTTTAGGGCTTCTTTAGGGTTTCATTTAGGGTTTCTTTAAAGTTTCAGTTTGGGCTTCATTTGGAGTCTCATTTAAGGTTTCTTCAGGGTTTCATTTAGAATTTCTTTAGGGCTTCTCCAAGGTGTCATTTAAGGTTTCATTCAGGGTTTCACTCGGGTTTCATTAATTGTTGCTTTAGTGGTAAATTTAAGGTTTCTTTAGGGTTTCAATTTAAGGTTTCATTCAGGAGTTCATTTCAGCTTTCTTTAAGGTTTCATTCCGGGGTTTCTTATCAGGATTTTTCTTCACGATTTGTAAACGTTCGAGTGGGTTCCTTTAAGGCTCCTTTAGGGTTTCATTTAGATTTAGGGTGTCATTTAGGGTTTCTGTAGGGTTTCATTTAGGGCTTCTTTCGGGTTTCATTCAGGGTTTCAATCTCAGGTTTCATTTAAGGTTTCATGTAGGGTTTCATTTAGGGCTTCTTTAGGGTGTCAATTTAGGGTTTCAGCTAAGGTGCAAGTTAAGGTTTCATTTAGTTGTTTTTGTTCAGAGTGTTGTTTAGGGTTTCTTTTGGATGTCATTTAGGGTGTCATATAAAAATTTCTTTAGGGTTTCGTTTATGGTTTCTTTGGGATTAACTTATGGTTTCTTTAGGGTTCATTTATGGTTTCTTTAGGGTGCAGGGTTTCTTATCAGGATTTCTTTAGGGTTTCTTTGGGTTTCACCTAGGGTCTCTCTAGGGTTTCATTTAGGATACAAACAGAACAGAATAAAGCAAAAGAAAATGAAATACAAAGAGACAATAAAGACACAGGAAGCAAAGATGCCAAGGAGCAGGAAGTAGTGCAGCAAAAACACATCACTGAAGACAAGAAAAAGTAGAATAGTAGAAGTAGAAAGGCACAGAAGTACAAAAGCATAGAAGTAGGGAAAACAGAGAAGCAGAAAGCAAAGAAGTAGGAAAAGCAAAAAGCAGAAAAGCAGAGAGGAAGGAAAAGCAGAAAATCAGAGAAACAGGAAAGCAGAGAAGCAGGAAAACCAGAAAAGCAGAGAAGCAGAAAAGCAGAGAAGCAGAAAAGCAGAAAATCAGAGAAACAGGAAAGCAGAGAAGCAGAAAAGCAGAGAAGCAGGAAAGCAGAAAATCAGAGAAACAGGAAAGCAGAGAAGCAGAAAAGCAGAGAAGCAGGAAAGCAGAGAAGCAGAAAAGCAGAGAAGCAGGGAAGCAGCGAAAGCAGAAAAGCAGAGAAGCAGAAACGCAGAAAAGCCCAGAAGCAGGAAAAGCAAAAAGCAGAGAAGCAGAAAAGCAGAGAAGCAGGAAAAGCAAAAAGCAGAAAAGCAGAGAAGCAGGGAAAACAAAAGCAGAAAAGCAGAGAAGAAGAAAAGCAAAGAAGCAGGAAAGCAAAAAGCAGAAAAGCAAAGAAGCAGGAAAAGCAGCGAAGCAGGAAAAGCAGAGAAGCAGAGAAGCAGGGAAGCAGGGAAAGCAGAAAAGCCCAGAGGCAGGAAAAGCAGAGAAGCAGAAAATCCGAGAAACAGGAAAGCAGAGAAGCAGAAAAGCAGAGAAGCAGAAAATCAGAGAATCAGGAAAAGCAGAAAAGCAGCAAAGCAGAGAAGCAGAAAATCAGAGAAACAGGAAGGCAGAGAAGCAGAAAAGCAGAGAAGCAGGAAAGCAGAGAAGCAGAAAAGCAGAGAAGCAGAAAGGCAGAAAATCAGAGAAACAGGAAAGCAGAGAAGCAGGAAAAGCAGAAAAGCAGAGAAGCAGAAAAGCAGAGAAGCAGAAAAGCAGAGAAGCAGGAAAAGCAGAGAAGCAGAAAAGCAAAGAAGCAGAGAAGCAGGAAAAGCAGAAAATCAGAGAAACAGGAAAGCATAGAACCCGGAACCCCCAAAAAAAACAAAACCTGCCGCGAAAAAACAAAAATAAACAGCCCTCCATTTTTAATTGATCCCCATTTGAAAACGAATTTAAAATGAAGGTCACATTTGTGGGTAAATTCGTCAACCCCGGGCTATTTTCTTAGGGTCCGGTCCGTCTTTTAAGATCCAAAAATATATCTTCTGGTTCTTCGAAATCCAATTTTTGGCAATATTTTGATTACATGTTTAAAGGAAATGAATCAAATTCGGAATAGAACATATTAGTTCTTTTTACATATCCTGACTCAAACACACACACACACATATATATATATGCAGCCGCTATATTGTGCATAAGATATGGAAGCCGACGCTTGTCTTCAATGTAAGTAAAAAAAATCCCACAGTGTGTGTTTGTGTGCGTGTGCGAGTTGTACATGAAAGCGTGTCAACATTGCAGAATTCTGGCGCCCCGAGGGATCTTCACCTGTAGATTGGTCCTGCGCTGCTCATATTGGTGAAGGACAAACTGCTTTGGAGTCTGCAAACATGGAGCCATCCTCAGGTTTCAGGATTTTGCAAACTAGCCGCCCCTTCCAAAAGCAAACTGATCGTTGTCTCTCCATGTTTCTCCTATAAAAAGGAGAACTACTTCGGAAGACAAGGTGGCGGACGGAGACTCAGTGCCCTTTTTCATGATCAACTCAAAAAGGACATTGCGCGAAGCCACTCGGCCGCAGGCTGCTTCCAAAACAGTTAAATCACTAAAATCACAAACTGAATTCTCAAGCTGAGATTCACTGGTGGAGCACTGTACGCCCGCCGCACTGCCGATGACTCATTGACCTCCTCCACGTCAATGAAGGTCTTTGAATAGCGAAGGTTCTCCATGGTTCTTCACAGCGCACAAGAAGATAACTGTTGCCGTTTCAGCTCGCTTTGATCCAAGGCCCAGGGCGGACACAAATCGTTGAGACATGGATGGAGAAAACCCTGCAGTTTCCAGCCAGGGTCCAGTGAGCAACCGAGAACTGTCCCATATCCGCAAGTGATCTTCAACACTTGCAAGCATCCGAAACGATCAGTTCTCATCAGCTTTATAATCTTAAACCATCAACTATCATCAAATGACTGTAGATCTGACAATAATTCTCTACAATTTGTAACAAAAAATATGTCAATAGATAGGTATAAACATAGATACAATACTCATATTATATAGAGAGTTAAATATATATATGTATAATTATATGAATATATATATATACATATTAATATATATATATGCACATATATATATACATACATAAATATATATATACATACATATATATATATGTACATATAAATATATGTACATATATATATGTATATATGTACATATATATATATACATATTATATACATACATATATACATTAATATATACAGATACATATATATATATATATACATCCATATATATATATATTTGCGCTATGAAACTTGCAGCCAGCAGCTAACTGCAGCAGCGCCTCTGGTGTTCCCTGGCGAATGCCCGGCCTCAGGGGAAGGCACGGCATTTCTGCGGGTCAAAATCCATGGATATTTTGTTGGAACGGTTTGTGAGTGCTGTTGTTTTTTGACATGGCGAACATTCATCCGGACTTCATCATCATCATCATCACCATCATCATCATCACCATCATCATCACCAACATCATCATCACCATCATCACCAACATCATCATCACCATCATCATCATCATCACCATCATCATCATCATCAAAACAACCATCATGACTCAACATGAAAATGATTCAGAATGGATGTTCCAGAAAACGGCAGGGGTGCTTACTGGTGATCATTCATAAGGATACTGCCTTCAAAAGGTTGGTTGCCGGTGGTACTTTGCAATTCAGAATGATCAACCACCCGATCCACCAGAGCTGATGGCCCTGAGGGCCGGCGCCTACGCATCCGAATGGAACACAAGGAAAAGGTCATGATTCTTCCTCGTCTTCCTCGCTAGGGTCAAAATCCATATCCAACCGCTTGATCCATCCCGTTCTCTTGACGAGATTGACCCGCAAAAAGACATCAAATTTCCCGATCCCTTTTCTTGGCCAGTGACCAAAACCGGGAAAAAGACATCTTGGAAATGACCTCTTAATGTCCAGGATATAAACCCAAATAAGCAGAAACAACAAGAAGAACAAGTAGTGCCACATTCATACAGCCATTGTGCTGTCTGCAAAGGAGCTTAGAAAATTGACACATTGCGTCCCGCCTTCGTAATCGATGTCTAATAATGGTACATGGATGCGTTAAACGAACATTGTAAATATGTCTATATATGTATATATATATATATATATTGGTTTTTGTCTATCTGTCTATCCAATCTTATCTAAGCTAATCTAATCTATTTACTATCTATATAATCAAATCCAATCCAATCTTATCGAATCTAATCTAACCGAATTTAATTTATAATCTAGTCTAATCTATATAATCTAGTCTAATCCATCATAATCTATCACAGCTATCACAATCCATCATAGTCTATCTAATCGATCACAATCGGTCATAACCTATCCTAATCTATCATAATCGATCATAATCTATCATAATCTATCATAATTTATCAATCTATCCACCCATCCATCTTTCCATCTATCCACCTATCCTGCTATCCAGCTATCCATCTATCCATCTATACATCCATCCATCCATCCATCCATCTATCTATCTAGCTATCTATCTATCTATCTACCTACATTCGTGATGACAAGTTTTTAAGCACGTTCGAGCTGTCAATCTCAAGCCAAATCGCTGCAGAAGTTCCAAAGCATCACAGGCTCTGGCAAGTTGAAAGTCATTGACCATGGTGGACATCATTGCAACATAGAGTGACCCGCAAATACCCTGCTGTGAGTGCTTTGCTACATCCAGCTGCAAGCCAAGTTGAGCACAAAATGTGCCTTCACAAGCATTTCACGGTCCTTAGCATAGAACGCATGGAACTGGTATTCAAAGACTCGTCTACAAATTCAAAAATGACTTCAAGAAAGAAGTCATTCTTGGGCCTTGGCAGGCACCGCCATGGCAGAGTGCGAAGTCGAGTGCGGAGCTTCAGGCAGTGTTCAGGCGTGTGCTGCTGCTGGGTTACAGTGAGCCGTATACCCAACTTCAAGATTGAGCGTTGCAACGTCAACATTATTCTTGGTCAGAGTTCGCCGTGATGGCAAGCCTTCATAGCAAAAACACCAAAGTTGTGTGACTGCTTGTAGTCTTCCGACTTGATTCATCACTTGTTATGGGGCGAAAGCTGTGAGCCCAAACATCCCCACCCCACCCTTGATGTTCCATGAGGAATCTCTGCCGGTCTAGTGGCTTTGGTCCAGAAAATTTAGACAAAGGCTATCAGCCCTCTTCCCTCAGAGCGCAAGAGAGTGCAAGCATTGCGCTTTTAAAACGAGGCAGCCTAAAGCTCTGCTTCCGGTGTCACGTTTCAGACTCCGGTTACTCTGGTTTGGACATTACTGAGGAATGCAACTGCGGTCTCGGTCTGCACTTTGGAGCAGGTCATGCGCTTTCTTCAGCTGCTGCGACAAATCTTTCACCTCTCAGTGGAACACATGTGACTTGTCACAGTTTGAAAATCAAAATATGTCAAAATGTTATTCTTCGCAGGAAGCTCACATAAGTTAACTTCGCACTATTCCCTAACCACACAAACACACACATACACACACACACACTCGCTCAAAAACCGTCTTATCGGAGTGGAACGCATCGGGCGTGCAAAAAGCACTTTCATTACACTTGCCAGGAAAGAGAGTTGGAAACTCCAGAGGTGGAAGGCCATCATCGTCGTATCCAATGGGAAATAAATAAATAAACAAATAAGTAAATAAATAAATAAATAAATAAATAAATAATTAGACATGAAGCTCCAAAACCACAGCCTTGAGTTGCGCCAACAATGAAAAATGAAGTCCAAACTTGTCACCCTCATCCGTCCCCAAGCTTAACATCAAAAGTATCCAAACGTGATCCTCGTTAAAGTTCAGATGGCGCCAACAGTGCAGATATGAAGTGGAAAAACACATCGTCTTGCCGGTTCTGAGATTAGCCGGTTGCTACAACGAGCTCAGGTACGTGCAATCTGCGTCCAGATTGCATATCACAGAAAATTTGGAGTGTCTTCGTTGAGTGGTGGCTCCAAAAATGCCCACCACTCCCCTGCAACTAAGATATATCAGGGTACAAGTTTTACATCTATTGAGATGTTTCACACACACAGAAAACAAAATCAAGTTCGGGACCATTGTATGATATGTTTCTTGCGTGCCTCTTTCCAATTTATCGGGAAATCCATTTGCCATGAGTTATATAGTTAAATATCATAAATATATATATATACTTACTTATTTATATGTATTTTAATTCATATAATATAACACCATCCATCATTATCCATTCTTTCACACCGGTCTCAGAGTGCCAAGCCAAGCATTGCCAAGCTGCGTCCTTACTCAGTCTCGCAATCTCCTGGCTCTGTCGATTGATCTCTGCACTCTGACGCCGCTCCGCATCCCGCAGCTCCGACTTCAGCTGGGTCAACCTCCGAACAGTGGGCGGTCCCACCACAGTGGCCCCAGCCCCGTCAGAGTAGCATTCGGTGCGATGAAAAAATGCATAAGTGACAAAAAAACAGATGTCTGTTTGCAAGTCTTGGGTGGACACATCTGTACACTACAACAAGGCCCACAACTAGGTGGGTGATACGTAGTAATTACGTTCAATCCTGGTTGTGCATCAACATCTTCTTCTCCATTGCCCTTTTATGATTTTAATTGATTTTATGCAACATTGTACGCATTTTTTTAGCAAACCAAAGGGGCCATAATCATTCGGCATCAATATTGCTCTGTCTCCCTCTCTCTCTCTCGCTCTTCCTCTCTCTCTCTCTCTCCCTCTCCCTCTCCCTCTCCCTCTCCCTCTCTCCCTCTCCCTCTCCCCCCTCTCCCTCTCCCTCTCCCTCTCCCTCTCCCCTCTCCCTCTCGCTCGCTCTCTCTCTCTCTCTCTCCTGGAGTTTTGAAAGTCAGCTTGGATGTATTGGCTTGCAGTAGGGGGATATATATATATATATTTATATATATATATATATTTATTTATTTATATATATATTTATAAATATATATATATAAATATATATATAAATATAAATATATACATATATATTTTTTTAATGGAGAGCACTACCATTTCCCTTGTCCAGTCATCTTGGGTGCACGGCATTACCCTGCACTCATTTAGGTTTGCGAATGACTTCAGCACTAGAAAAATTCAGAATATGCAAATGAAATCTTCAGCTCTCCAAGCATGGGACTCCACATCTTGATTTATGTAGAGGTTGTCGCTGTAATCGGATCTATAGCCTCAGTCACACTTTGCAGTGCCGCATCGTGCAGGGCCTGGGGCAACTCCTAATGCGAAAACTTTCTGCAGCTAAAGGAACTCACCCATAAGAAACGGTGGCGCTGATCAAGATCGCTGTTGCTGATCCTGGATGTATATGGGTTTGTATCACTCAGGGCACAGGACGGATGGGACGCGTCAAATGAAATGGACTGAAATGTTCATTTGACATTAAGTAACTTTACGGCCAAACACCTCGCTTTGCCCACGCCTGTTGGCCCGCCTTCTTCGTATGAGGTGAAAACGTGGTAAAATGTGATATTTGAGCATTATGGTTAATGGTTAACTTGATGTTCTACATCAGGACGCACAGCATAGGGACTTGTGCGGTTTCGCTCAACATCATCATCATCATCATCATCATCATCATTGTAAACCTCAGTTGGGCAGTCTCTCACTCAGTACTGACAATCTCGCGGTAGCCCAGCAGCTGTACCATGAGCTGCACCTTTCACTGTGTACACTCAAGGGCCCTGTATCGAGCCAAGTCATGTAGCAGGCAAGGTATGTACCAACTCCAGGTATACACAACTGTACACAGGTGGACATGTACATGCACGGTGGCGTCTGTATTTAACACCCCCTCTCGACACAAGCATGTACTGGACACAAGCACCACCAAATGTTGAACTGCAACTGCATTAACCTTTACAATCTCAGCCAACTAGTATGTACACCCAAATTGGGTCGTACGGTACCTTGAAACTCAAAAGTCAATGCGCACATGTACTGATGATTTACAGAGGGCGCTGCTACACTACACAGCTCAATTCACTGTACAGGTGAAGAACTTGGGATCTCAACAGATGAGGGACAAAGTGGCCGCCATGAGTACAGCCACCTCAGCCACATTGGCTGCCATGGACACTACGGCTGATGAGACTACAGCTGACGATCCCTGAAATACAAGAACTGAGAGCTGAGAGGAATTACAGTTAGTGAAGCGCTGTTGATACATGATATTGATACATACGGGTAGCTGATGCAGATTTTGTACCGCTGTATCTAGACAGTACATTAGGTGTACCCATTGGTAAAGCTGTAGCGCTCGAGAATTTGCATCCAGTTGGCACGGATCCTGAGCACTCTGCGATCCATGCTCCGTAGTATCGAACATGTACGCAGGTTCACCCTGGTACATCAGGCTGAGAAAGCGTCTGTTGAAAGCTTTGCCCCAACCATGGTCAAATTGGTGAGAACCTTGCGTACATTGGGAACAAACATCACCATGTAGAAGACGGGCGTGTATGCCGCGACTGCTGTCGCGATGCACCACAGCATGTAGGCCACCGCATCGTGAAAGCTGCAGTGCCAGGATGTAAATCCTGTGTTGTGGTGAGTATGTTGGACAGCCGGCAAGGTGCCATCGTCGATCGACTGGGCATTGTACTCCTGCTGAGTCATTGCCACAAACATGTACTTCACACTCACAGCCTGTGCCTCGGCCTGGTTCACGGTCTCTTCCCATGTACGTTGGTACACATGTACCGGTTCCACCTCGAGAGACTGTTCCATCTCTCCTTTGTCGGTGGCGGCCCACAACGACGAGTAGGGCCGTACCTCACCGCAATTCAAGCGCTGAGTGTGCTGAAACTATTTAGTCCTGTACCTGACGCTGGGGCTTGTACCGCTAGGACGGACGGCACGGCCAGCGAAATTCAAATTGCATCCATGCAGCCAAACAAAGATGTACAAATTCAGGGAAACACCTCGTACACCTCAAACTTAGTGAACATGTACCCGTGGGACGTGGTGGACCATGTAAATCTTAGACTGTATCATGTAGTCCCCATGTACTCGTTAAACACCGTGACTCAGATGACGAGGTGAAACTGACAAAGGTGAAGAATGAACATGTACGCCTTGAGGTCGTGAAACGTGTATATGTCAACTCTGCATGCTGCAGGCATGTATTCATACATGCGTGTTTGTATGCTGGTATGTGAAACTGCGGTAGCTATGTAGCCCCTCAGCTATTCAGTGGAAACTTTGTAGCTGTCTCTCTCCTCAGCTACCGTGGTGAAACTGTTGCAGCTGTATCTCTCCTCAGCTCTCCGGCGGACGTATGCCCACTTGGCACAAGTGCCATTGTAGCACTTCTCTTGTAACATACTTTGCCAGTATGTCAGCTGGATTGCGCTTGGTGTTGATCTTGTGTATCGCAAGGAAACCATCGTGGATGAGGTGTTGGATGAACATGTACCTCAGTTCAATGTGCTTGGCTTTTTTGGAGACGCCGATGCGTGTAGCCATACTTTTGCCGGGCGAGCTGTCCGTGTGCATCTTGAGATTGATTTTGTTTGTAAGAGTTCTCCAAGGAAATTCTTGAGGTGTAGTGCTTCTGTTGCTCCTGTACCAATGGCGTAGAACTCACTCTCTGCTGATGAGGGTGCTACGACTGCTTGTGTACGGTATCCAAAGCGCACTGTTGTACCCAAGAGTTGGATCACGAAACCTGTTGTGCTCTTTCGTGTAACGTGACAACCGGCCCAATTTTCGTCCGTGTTCTTGCTTGTCGAGTAGCTCATCTTGTGCAGGTGTAGGTGTTGAAGTTGTTGCTCCTGGTGTAACTGCAGGTGTTGTTTTGAGTAGGTTGGCTTCTTGTAGTATGTCGTTGGTCTAACTGCCGTTGAGTGAGATTTCAAAAAGTGGTCTCCTTTGTTTGTAATTCGTCGACCAAGGAAGTCGACCGTCTTGCCTGTTGTACAAGTGCCTGTATGTCGCGGTAGCATCTTGGTCTATATCTCTTTGAAGATACGTGTAACTTCCTCTGGTTCACCAATGAACAGGAGGTCGTCCACGTTGGCGTAGACGTTGGGCTCCGACTGTAGTCGTTTGAGACCGAGGTCTGTAAGCACCTTGGCTAGGTGATCCTGCGAGGCTTTTGGTGAGCTACGCAAGCCGTACATAGCTTTGTGTAGTCTCCACAGGATGTTGGGGTTGGTGTAGTACTCTTTGGGTGGACGGAGTACTATGCCTGTAGGAAGGCTGTGGATATGTCACCCACTTGTACGATCCAGCCTCTGGCGAGACTCAAAGCCAGCAGTATCCGGAGTACTGCAACAGTGGTGTGCTTGCGTACATCGTCCTGGTCTTCGATGTGTTCAGTGTATCCTTTGGCTACAATCCTTGCTCGTACCTCATCTCCTTTGGATCTGTAGACTCATCTGGACTCGATGATGTTGTCGAGATCCAGTTCTTGTTGCTGTTGTGGTGTGAGCTTTGTAATGTCGATCTCCTCGTACACCTTCTGCGCTTTCATTGGCTCCATTTCCTTCTGCATACCTTTCTTTAGTTTCTCTGTATCGAAGCCTTCATTGTGGTATATGTGTGGCTCCAAGAGTCTTTGTTCTGCTCGTACCTCTTGCGCATCCTCACTTGTTGCTGTTGTGATTTTCTTCAAGCTTTTGAGTTGTACAGTCACCGCGTTGATCCTCATTCTTGGTTTCTTTGCTTGTTCTCCTGCTTCTTCTGGTCTTGTAGCGGCTTGTTGTTGTCTGGTTTCTTTCCTGCTTTTGCTTGCCCTACCTTCATGTATTTGGTCATCCAGTGACCTGCTTGTAGTGGGTGGTCTGTTGACTGGTGTTGGCGAAGTACCCAGTTTCATCGTAGTGTGTGCAGTTGGTGTTGGTTCCCCTTCTGTTCTGTGTCTCTTTGTTTCTTCTGTTCTTGCCTTCTTTGCCTGTGTCTCACCCGTTGGTGCTGGTGTGGTGTCATCACGTTGCTGTGTAGACCTGGCTGCAGTGACAGTTGTTCTGTCCTGCGACGAAGCTGCTTGACCATGTTGGTCTTGTGTCTCTGCTTGCTGTCCTTGTTCTGTGCTTGCCTGTGGTGTCGGTAGTCGTGGCAGTAGAAAGGATGCTTGGAATCCAAGTGGTGGTGACGGATTCCATGGTGTACCTTTCACTGTTCCTAACATTTGTTTGTCGTACCTTGCTTCTCCTGCAAGTCTCCTCACTGTACGTGCTCCTACCACTCTGCCTGCAACACCTACAAAGGATTCACCTGTTGATGTACATTTTCCTAACCAAGTACCTCTGAAGAACCTTGGCTCTAGCTTTGGTCGTCGTTTGAGTATAGGGACCATGTACATTACAGTTTCTCCAAATTCACATAGGGCTGCATTGTGTGTACGTCCACATCGTGCTTGATAGCTTGTGTACCATGATGAGAAACCGGTTGATCAAGTATGCTGAGTGTCGTACTGCCCATGCCATCAGTGGATGGTCTGTAGGGATTTGTATGTTGTAGTTCTGCTGCACCAGTTCCCTAAGTGTTCTAATTTGTCCTGTCAGTGTACGGTGGTACCGTTCAAAGATTCCGTTGCTTTGTGAGCTGTATGCAGGTGAGAAGCGCACTGCCATGTTGCCACATGCTTTGGCTGTTGCTCTGACTAGTGCTATCAAGTACTCCTCACTGTCGCTTTGTAAAATGCCTTCTGACCGGCCACACTCCAAAAGGAATGCTTGTAGGCAAGTTTTTGCATAGCTGAACTGGTTGTGCTTGTCTATAATCATTGCTGCCATTGCCATGCCTGTTTGCATGTCGATCGCTTTAAGTATCGGTGTTGCGAACTTGACACCGAAACTTGTGATGTAGGTGAAATCAACTTTTACGATTTGCTGCCGTGATGTCTGCTTTGGATGGTTTGCTTGCCTGCCTTTTGCTTGTACACATATTGGACATCAACTTCTGTATGGCATGTGTGTGATGTTGTGTTCCTCTATTTCCTGTGGTGTTGGTTGTGTAGGCATTGTCATTGTCATTGCCTTTGCTCGTGTTGCCATCTGAGGTGTGTCATCTTCAGTGAGCAGGTCCTCACTGTACCCCATGCTTTCTTCATCTTTCTTCAAAGGTTGTGGATCCTGTCCGCTGTTCTTTCCTTGTGAGTTGTGGTTCAGTTGTCCAGTTGTCTTCAATTCTCCTCATGTTGTGCTCTGAGTGTATGTTTGTGTACCGTGTTGGTAAAAGCTTGTTGATGTCTGGTCCGTTGTCTTCAGGTGTTGGTGCGTAGAATTCTGTTCTGGGAATCACATGTACTCTTTTCCAGTGTCTTCCTCCGATCCAGTAATCTGTTGTACGTCGTACTTTCTCTGGTGACGGAATTGCTGTCTCTTTCTCAGATTGCTTGCCTGTATGCCTCATAAGCACTGGTGTGCTGGTGCTTCGTTTGTTTTGTGATTGCTCCTGTTGAATCCTCGTTGTACCTTCCTTTTGTTCAGGAAGTATCCTGAACCATGTTTCTCCTTGCCAAAGGCCTCCTGTAGGTTCTCTGTTCCTTTGTTCTTTTGTCAATGTTTTGTATTGGTCCTCCAGTGCAAGGGGCTCCTGCTGTTCTCTGTGGATAACCGTTCTTCTGTAGTTGTCAAACCTGTCCAAGGGTGCTGGACATGTAGATTGCTTGCCGTGGTCTGGTGTGAACATTGCTTTCCTGTCTCTCTTGTGTAGCCTAACCAGGTACCCTTCTTCATTGTACTTCCAATAGTCGTTGTTTCCTCGTTGTTGTACACGTGGCCCTGTCGGTGTAAGGCCATGTGTCGGTACAATCATTGCTGCTTGTCCTTTTGGTGTGTTTCTGATGACCAGGTTGTAGCCTTGCTCAAGGGGTGCGAGTTCCAGGTGCATGTATAGGAGTTGGTTCTTCTTTGTGAGTGGTACCTTGAAACCTTGTCCATGTGTAAGCGTTGGCTCTGTACCTGTGAGCGTGAGGCTAAAGCCTTGTGCCAGCAACCTTGTAACGCTGACGATTGGGTGTTGTATCCCTTCACACACGTAAAAGGGAATCACCATTTGTTTCCCTTGTCTGTTGTAAAACCTGATCCATCTGTACCCAAGGATCTTGAGTGGCTCATCTGTAACTGAGCGCAGTGGTGGTGTCTCCTCTAGTGTAAGTTTCTGTCGTGGGACGTCTGCACCAAAGCTTGGCGAACAGACATGTACCGCCGCCCCACTGTCAACCATAATTGCTACTGTTGAGTCCGTGTTGAGGTTTGTGCGTGTAACTGACGCCACAAACAGTTCTTCAACCTTCACTGACGAAACTGCCTGTGCCTGTTGCAAGGTTGGTGCCTGTTGTTGTGTGTACTCTTGTGCCTGCTGCTCTGGAAACCATTGTTGCTCATACTGCCATGCTTCTTGTTCACTCCATTGTTGGTAGTTTGGGTCATATTATCATATTGTTGTTGATTATACTGCTCCTGAGGAGGAGTGTTGTTGTTGGTCCGTGCTTTGCTCTCCTGTTGCTTCTGCTACGTTGTACACTCGTACACGGCAATCCTTTGACCCATCTGCCCGCATCTGTAGCATGCTCCTTTGCCTTTTCCTTTGTCTCCTTGCCATGTAGAGGGTCCTTTACCTTTTTGTCTTTCCTTTGACTGGTGTGTATCCTGATCCTTTGAAAGCATTGCCGTAACCAATTGGTGTTTGTGCTTTGCCTTTGCCATATCCACTGTTGTTGTATGCTGTGTGTCCTTTTCCTTTGTTGTGCCATTGTGTCTTTCCTTTGCTTTGCCCTTTGTAGCTCTTTCCTTTGCCATTGTGCTTTCCTTTTCCTTTTTGTACATCGGGCCGATGTCCATTGGTTGTGGGTCTGTTGAACCTGCACTTGTGTTGGGTGCTTGTTGTTGGGCTTGCATTTTTGAAAATGCTGTACTTGCTCTGTGATACTCAAGAATGAGCTCACGTACATCAGCATAACGCTGGATTGTGCCTGCTCTGAGTTGTAGGTATTGTTGTAGTGCTCCTTTTGTTTCGTTGAGTAGTACTGCAATTTTGATGTTGTCTGGTATTGGTGCTTGGTTGTCCCTTTCGTACCGGGCGATTTCAAGCTCCCATGTTGCAAATGACTCTTCAAACTTCTGCTCGTTGAATTGTGGCTTGAGTAGTTTTGTAAGGTATCCTACACTGCGTGGACCGACTGGTATCGAGAACCTGTTGTGTAGTTGCCTCCAGGTCTCCAAGCCCTGTGCTTGTGTACTGTGCTGTCTGCACAGTATTGCTGCTTGTCCTGAACAAACGCTGACCAGTATGTAGCGTAGGTCTCTACTGAGTTGTACCCAAAGTTGTGCCTCTTGTGGTGTAGTTGCTCCATCTCTAAGGAGGGCGTCTGTAACCTCCATGTTGGGTGTTTCTGCTGTTTGTAGTAGTGGTGGGAATTCTGAGTTTTGTAGCCCAAGGTATGCTACCATCTTGCGCTTCCATTCCTCAAATGTTGCGTAGCCTCCTGTAAAGTATGGTGGTTGTAATTTGTACCTGTGCGTTGATTGTAGTTCTCCTCCAGCTGCGGCCATGTTTGTCTTGGTGTCCTTTCTCAACTGCTGTTGCTTTGTTGCCTTGTGTATTGGAGCTCACCCTGTCCCGTATCGTCCAAGGGCCACTGCTCCGCTACCATGTAAATCTCAGTTGAGCTGTCCCTCACTCTGTACTGACAATCTCCCTGTAGCCCAGCAGCTGTACCATGAGCTGCACTTTTCACTGTGTACGCTCCAGGGCCCTGTATCGAGCCAAGTCATGTAGCAGGCAAGGTATGTACCAACTCCAGGTATACACAACTGTACACAGGTGGACATGTACATGCATGGTGGCGTCTGTATTTAACAATCATCATCATCATCATCGTCATCATCATCATCATCAACATCATCATCTTCATCTTTATTTTCATCTTCATCTTCACCATCGTAAATGTAAAGTTTAACGGGGGTGGTTACTATTTATTGTTGATCTTCCCAATTGAATGTAAAGTTTAACAGGGTTGGGACTTTTATATTCCCGAATGCCATTATTGATCTTCCCAATTGAATGTAAAGTTTAACAGGGTTGGGACTTTTATATTCCCGAATGCCATTGTTGATCTTCCCAATTGAATGTAAAGTTTAACAGGGTTGGGACTTTTATATTCCCGAATGCCATTATTGATCTTCCCAATTGAATGTAAAGTTTAACAGGGTTGGGACTTTTATATTCCCGAATGCCATTGTTGATCTTCCCAATTGAATGTAAAGTTTAACAGGGTTGGGACTGTTATATTCCCGAATGCCATTGTTAATCTTCCCAATTGAATGTAAAGTTTAACGGGGGTGGGACTGTTATATTTCCTAATGCCTTTATTGATCTTGCCAATTGAACGCAAAGAGTAACAGGGATGGGACTTTTGTATTTCCTAAAGCCATTGTTGATCTTCCCAATTGGCGAAACGGGGTGTTTGCGCATAACCTTACGGATCTGCCTACGGTACAATGAAGAACGATGGCAGTCTATAGCAGAAACCTCACTCCCGTGTGATCAAGACCTTGCCGCTGAGGTACAGCAAGGCAGACTGCAGAATCAGCAAGCTGATTGACAGACAAAAGCCGGCGAGAATAGAGGTATGCATATGATCGTGAGCATCATACGCGTGGTATGCAGGCTCAAGCACAAAGACAACCTCAACAAGTCTCAACACAATGAAGACCGGTCCAAATGATGCCAAATTTAGACACTTTTAGCATAGCCAGCATCGACATGCATCAACCCTAATTCCAATTCTGGCTCATGGCGCACTGAGGAGCAAACGAGCAAGCTCAGCAGGAAGAAAGGCAGAGCGAGAATACCTGTAGAGTGCAGGGTGCAGAGTGTTGCTGGAAATATTCGAGATACCCTCTGGTAAACTAACATAGCTATGGAAAATCACAATGTTTAATGGGAAAATCAACAATGGTCATTTTCAATAGCTATGTAAACGTTTACCAGAGGGTATTTCGAGATGGGGCCTGGCATGGCCTGTCCTCGACTCGAGCCGAGGGCCAGACTTACAGCCCATCGTGCTGCAGAGGCCGTGTAGCCAGCAGCACCAATCTTTGCTAGAAATGAGGCTGGTAAGGCTGGTCTCAGCATGAACATCACGCTTATCCTGGAGTGCATCGACATGTCTTGAAAAGAGGAAAAGGACTGTGGCCCAAAGGGTGACATCAACCGATGACATGTTGTGACATGTGGTGCAACTGTGTAGACCTCGCATAGCATCTAGTCTCCGCCAGTGTCATCCTTGTCTACCCACCCTGCCTTGCGCGGCATTGCTGAAAACCCAGGCGTGCTAACGGTTCCTGCAAGTACGCGACACATTGATCAAACTGATGAAATGCCTCGCAATTGACCTGTGCACCTCTCTGCAACCTGACCCTGAGACAACATACGTCGATCTGCTGCTTTCGTTCATTGGCGCCTGCATCTCGTAAAACTTGGTGTACATACCAATGGTCAAATTCCTTGGCAGTTGGTCCAAGTTTGTCCTTAACACCCCGCTGGTTTCACTGACCTGCTTGCAATTGTTTGCAGCAAGGCGTCAATAAAACCAACGAAAATGACGAGGTGGCAAACAACATGCACGCAGTTGTGGCTGTCAGCAGCCATGAATTGCCTCCTCCCGTGTACATCTCCGCACCAAAGTCCAAAGTCTGCTGGTGCCCAATGTCCATGCCGGATATGCTCTCCGCACCATCACTGTCTGTGAGGAACAACGCCTGATACAGATTCAGCAAGACCTCGGGCTTGCAGTGTCTTTCTTTGATTCTTCGCACCTTTCAGAACTCAGGCTCCGTGGTACTGTATGGAACAAACCTTCTTCCCATGTGATGCAAACGGTCACTCCCGGACATAAGCTGAGAGACATAAGTTATGCTTCGGTTATCATCCTTCATCGTGAGAAATGTGAAAGCAAAAGTCACAAACATCATGCCTCAGCTGGCAGCACACGAAAACACACAAACGCAAAATGTTGCATGTTTGATTGATGTTATTGGAAGTAAACGCTACATCCGCTACATCACCAAGTGACCGTCTCTAAATGTGTCACAACCTGTCTGATCACTTTCCTGACTTGCCTACTGCTGAACACACGACCATCCCTCTAATCCAACATATTGGGGCTTTGAACGACGCTAAGCTCTTGAAAAAACATGGCTCTCGCATCAAATTTGGAAGGCAAGAACCTCGATGGATTCATCAGTTCATCAACTAGTCCATGGAATATTGCTAGCGGAACGCTGCCGGCGTTCGGAAGCGAACTGTTCGATCCTTTCCCTATCTCCATGGGTCCATGAACGCTGCCAGCTATGGGCAGCTAATAAGTCCTAGTCGCCATATCCTCAGCCATCTAAGCGCATTTCCAAGCTACCCATAAAGGCAAACATTCCGATCATCGGAGCAAAAGACTGCAAAACAGCTATGATCAGCGGCCCCACGACTGGCACCACGCGGAACTCCAGGACAATCCAACAGCACCTTGCGCCAGTGGGTTGCAAACAGTTGCTCCCAAAGAAAAATGTTACAACATATTGCAACTTTAAACGTCAAACTTTTCGAGTCATTGCTTGACACATTACCACAGGCTTGATGCCCAGACCATAGCGATATCCTTCCTTCATTTCGATCCATTTCACACAAAGCCCTGAACAGATTGAAGAGGGCGGCTGTGCCTTAACAGGATGTTTCCAGCCGCCAGGACCTTTGCCCGCGGGGTCTTGATGGGGTATTCTGTGAGGGCCAGGATCAGAAGCGCACACCTCACGCGCTGACACCAAGGCAAACCGCAGATGTATATAGCCAGTTTTGTGGAGATCTTTCACTTTGGTTGTTGCCGTCGTGGCATCGCAGCCTTTTTCCAGACTCGCCCCGCTATAATACACATCATATGAATTGACACCTTGGCAGCCATGGCATTGCAAATCTAATGATCTACCTGGGCTGTATCGCCCCCATTGTGGGCCTTGGCTGCCAAGGTCGGCTCAGAAAATATTCAACTTGCTCCGCATGGTCGTCACAGCCTCTATGAGGCTTTGAGACTTGCCTTGATCAGGGAGCTCTGGTTGGATGTAGCGATCTGTCATCGATGGACGGGATTTGGGCATCTCTGCTGACTCCTGTAAAACCTCCTCCACCTGGAAGGCTCGGGAGGCTTGGGAGGGTGAGAAATGCCTCACCCTGCAAATTTAATAAACATCAACAAATGATGGGTGGTATGATCTGCTCATGTTTGGTCCATGTCGGCCACACCTGCAAATGTTCCCATTGATGTCGGCGCCGGAAGGTCACGAAAGACCAATAGACAAAGACCCAGCTTGAGGCTGCAATGGCACTGGGCACGAAGTTTCCAGCCCTTTCTGCCAGGACACCGGTCATCAACAGCACAAACCTGAAGGAGAAGCAGCAACATCCCGGGGAAGATGTGGGAACCCTCACTGGAACCTTCCATTTCCCCAAGGGCTTCTGAACTAAATTGAGATATGTCAAAAGATGTCAAAAGCATTCAAATACCAAGGGACAGGAAGAGGCCGCGTTGAATTTCTTCCAAGTCGCTGACCCAAAAGACTCCACCCAAATCAGGTTTCCTGTTCTCGACTTCGAACAAGAAACCGTGGATTAAACGGCTCACTGCGAACATGAAGAAGCCCAAAATGGAGATCAGGGGAGACAAGGTGCAAAATGTCAGCACAGTCGACAATTGAAGGGCTGCACGAGCAGATCGCGAACCTATTCCGGTGAACTCTTGATCTTCTGGCTCAGACTTGTCTTTGGCCGTTTCAGAATCATAGTAACAACGGAAGAAGAGATACTTGCAGACCTGGGCCATGCGCAGACCTGAAGTTGAATAGGCAGCCATCTGCATGGGTATGAAGTTCAAGTAGAAATGAGTGCTCTTTGGCATGTTGCTGGCCAAAAGGCCCGGGGCATCAAATGGACGTTCCATCAAGTGCTTGCCTGTCGTGAAGATGGAGGAGCCAACTGCTGTGACCAGCAGGATGTAAACCATCAAGAAATAGTTATACCAAACCTGCAATCTCTGCTTGGCGCCAAGGCACAGATTGAAATAGATTGAACGTGGTGGAGACTCTTGGCCCAAACAAACTGAACTGTTCAGATTGATTCAAATTGCAGAGTCCTGAAACCAATTCAAGGACTATCAAGGACCACTAAGCCAATGCTGATGAGTGGGGATATGTGCAAATGCATCCATGGGTTCATCCATGTGATAGCATGTGATAGCAATCATGACCCGAACATCCCCGAACCGCCTGCAATTTGTGTTGTCGGTTCACTTCGGCTTTGCAGGGAAAGAAGTTGCCAAAGATCAGCCTTGGCGGGCAGACCAAGGCTAACCGGCTAACCTCCAACGGCTGCAAAAAAGAGGCCCGAATGCAGGCCGTTTTCCGCATGCCACATCATTACATCATGTATGACCTAGACCCCAATAGCTTCAAGTACAGTACCCAGGAAACACGTGTTTGGCCCCAATGAGCTGTTTCAATGCTCTTGCCATGCCCAAGGATGCGCCCAGCGAGAAACATCAACAAGCTTGGAAGAAGACTAATGGCCACCGTCAGAGCGAAGGATGCCATCAAACCATTCCACAAGGTCGCCACTACAGGGAGCTGTTCGATCAAATACTTGAAGAAGGGGACGTCCTGCAATGACGTGGCGGCCGTGGCGTGGCCATGAAATTTAGACGAACTATTGTACAGTAACATATAGTAACATAGTAAGATATAGTAACATATAGTAACATATTGATCGCCCTTGAAATTCTGCTGTTTTCCCTAGGGTTTGATTCTTTAAGGGACCAAGCGGCGTCACCTTAAAGGATTGGGGACCGTGCCAAAATAGGCCTTAAAGAATTGAGGACCGGCAAACAAGGCCTTAAAGAATAATAGGCAAACGCTCGTCCCCTTAAAAAATTGGTCACGCTGTGTGAGGTGGAATTTTGACAGTTTGATTGGGGGGTAATCTGGTTTGATGAAGGGAAAAAAGGGATGATGAATAATGATGGATGGAGGGACCAATGTTTGGGGCACCAATGTTTGGAGGAGAAACCACCGGTCTTTTTGTTTCTAAGGGATTGAGTGTGGTTTAAAATGGTTTAAACATGCTCGCTGCAACCCCTACGTTGCTCCGCGTCGGAATCAGAAGTGGCCGAAGTATATAATAGATTATAATAGTACATAGCACATATATTATATTACATCACATATAAGTCAGAGGGGGTGCCAAATTTTGATCCCTTTATTCCGATAAGTTGAAGATATGGATTGGATCCTTTGGATCATTCCCCCATTCCCTATCAAGCACCAGAATGATGATGATGATGATTATTATTATTATTATTCTCTTGAGGTGTGGAGCAACGTCCGGGTTGGAGGGAACATGTTTAGCTCAAAAACTAGTGGAAAATGAGCAGCTAGGCAAAGCGGGCGGCCACTGTTTCGTTCAAAAATCAGAACCCATGTCCACACGACCTGCGCACCATTTCTACCTCAATTTCTCCAGGGATTCCCCAGCTTCCCCAATCTAAACCAGGCCGCCAATATTTCAGAAAGGAACCACCGGTCTCCTATTTTTTTAAGGAATTGATCAAAAACATGGTGAAAAACAACCGGCTGGCTTGCAAAACCACGACACAACCATACACAACCCCCTAGCTCCATAGATATTACCAAATCAGCATCGGGTATATAGGGTATGATACAGTCATGTGTTCAGCAGTACAGTGATGTCACAACGCCAGCAAGAAATGCTACCAACGATACTTGTAGCGCCTGCAGGACAATGTCAAGTAATAAGTGCAATATCAAACAAAGGTTCCAAAACAGGGTCCTTTAAAAATAGGAGAGGTGCCAAACCCCATGTCCAGCCTTAAAAAACGTAATTTCTTTTGTCGTTGAAAACCCCGTCCCTTCAAGAAATCATTTTTTTAGGGGACATTGCGTCCCCCATTCAGGGAAAATTCCCAGGAGGATACATATTGTAGCTATTCTGAGCAATACCAGGCATTGGATGACACTGGGCACTGGGCATTTGCTGCATGCTGCAACCATAGGCAACCCACGTCCTTCTCCAATGTACTCAAATTGGCAATGGATTGGATAAAGACCACCACCGGCATGAACCCCCAGAATATCAGGAAGATCAAAAAATAGCCACAGAGTTCTAACAGCGACTGTCTTTCTGGGCTCACAGCCAGGTCTTGCCAAAGAACCTCTTGGGGATCTGGTGGCAAATCTGCACGGATGTGATCCTTAGCTCCAGGGTGATGGCCTTCATGGTCACGGCTTTGCGGCAAACACTGATACTCTGGGAACTGAAAACAATGACAAATTTGAATTTACACCTTGGAAGGGTCGGCTTCCAAGCACCTCGCAGTTATCACCTTCTTCCACCAAAAACTGAAAACTCACCGATTAAAAAATACTTGGAACCTGATGAACCTGTTTCTGGAGCTTGTTCTGTGACCGCCATTTTAGGCTGGAAGGTAGCTCAAATACTTGGAGTGAGTTTGCAAGAGCAGGTAATGGACAGCTGCCAGTCTTATTTGAAACGTTTGCACCCAAGTATCGTTGTCATCTGCTGACAGCAGCCTGTAGGCCAGCGCCGCCTCCCGTCTTCGCTGGAAGGTGACAAACGCGCAGCTGAGGTTCACATCGTCTGAATGCAGAATCTGCTTCCTGCAGGGGTTTCAGAGGAAATGAACGGCATCCCTCCCAACCTTGCTGGTCTCCGATTGGATCCATCAGCATCTCAAGTTTTCGAATATTGACGCTATTTCCTGTAACTTTTTCTATGGCATCCATGGCATCTATGGCATGGGATGGTGGCCATGGGGATCCATGGATATCCATGGGGTCGGCGCCGCCTCATCCTCTCTGCCATGCTTCCGGCCACCTGGTGGAGTTCCTCATCCTTCAGCACTCGCCCCGTGCCCGTGCGAAACGCCGCGCGGCCCTGGAGCCCGTCCTCAGCGGCACGGCGCCAGCGCAGCAACTCGCGCGTGTCCTTCAAGAAATCGATGCGCTTCACCTTGGAAACAGAACCCGAACAAGCCGTGGATGTGCATTGGATGCATTTATTACATGATCTTAGCATCTCGTGTATCTATATATATATCTCTCTCTCTCTCTATCTATTTATATCTATATTAAAACGGGCGTATGTATGGATGTATGTGTGTGTACTGTATGGTGGGCGTATTCTATCGATTATACTTGATTCTATCCAAACTGTGTGCTCTATACAGCGCTGTTCCAGTTACGCAATTCAAACTATCTGTCTATCTTGTCTTCTCTTGTCGTGTCGGCGTGGCACGTCGCGTCGTGTCGTGGGGTATCGTGTTGCGTTGTGTTCTCTCTTGTCGTTTGTTGTCTATCTGTCTTTCTATCCGTCTATCTGTTTCTCTATCCGTCTATCAGTCTACCTGTCTATCAGTCTATCAGTCTATCTATCTATCTATCTATCTATCTATCTGTCTGTCTGCCTGCCTGTCTGCCTGCCTGCCTGCCTGTCTGTCTGTCTGTCCCTCCATCCATCCATCCATCCAGACAGCCATCCATCCATCCATCTTTTCTATGTGCGGGTAATTCTCTCTACTTTGTTTATCTTTGCGTAAACCTTTAGTTATACCCATGTCAGCAAACAAAAGCTAGATGGTACGTACAGTACATTCTCTGAAATATCTGTGCGCCAGGACCTAGGACAACCTGTGGCTGGCCGTCTTGCATCGAAAGGCGATATCATGGGCATTGTTTGCTGGGCCTATCCCACTGTCCCACGAAAACAATGAAACGGGGACTTCCCAAAACCACAGCAACCAAAGTTACCACAGTTCCACTTTTGTTGGTGTCTGGGTGTGATGCTGAAAACGATTTCTCGACAGATCAAGTGGCGGCATTGTAGCCAAATACTCCGTCAAAGAATGTTCTGAGATCTTCGGTGGTTCTGAGGTGCTCGGGAATGTTTTGCAACAGCAGAGTGGTCACAGCTGGCTCTGGCATCTCCTTCAGCCATCGCATCCGCAATGGCAAGAAGCTCTTTTGCGCACGATGGAGATGAACATGCACCACTAGCACCACATACCACACCATGAAAGCATGGACCCAACACAGCCACGAGCCATGCTGGACGTTTCCCATGCCCAATCGCGACAAGCGATCATCACCAGCAGCTCCACCCCCACAGAAATAGTGTAGAGGGCACAAGATCAGGACACACGGTGCCCCAATTATCGCGCAGGTCCTCGCCAGCACCCATTGCTATTGCTACATGCTATCCATCACCGCCCTGCGGAGGATCTAGATATACAAAGATATTTAGTTTAATCCTGTCCATGTCACGTCAAGATAATACAAAATAAATGAGTGTGTATATATATATATACATTTATTTATTTATATTTATATTTAATTATTTATTTATATTTATTTATTTATTTATTTTTATTTGTTTATGTGTTTATTTATTTATTCATTTATCATTTATCTATTTATTTATATTATTTATATTTGTATTTATATTATTTTTATATATATATATATATATTTGTATATACATGTACATAAATATTAAATATCCAACATTATCCAACTGGATCAGCCTGGCCACCTTGTCCCACCGCTGGGCACAGAGCCATTGTCGATACTCAAACATGCCCCAAGAAATTACCGCAGGTTGTGAAAGGACAGTCCTCATGGATAGCTCCAAAAACTCCAAGTACATGGCATGGTCCAAGCCAGCTTTGTCTTCGACTTCATCCTTGGGTATGCTGAGACTCCGCGATATCCACCCAACAGAACCTCGCTTTGGCGTCCATGACATCAAACATTGGGCACTGGCACTTGGTTAGTGGAAGGTAAGCACACCAACAGCATTAGGAAGCAAGTTGGGGCTTACATTTGAGTCCTAGGGCCCAGAGGTCCAGTAGCTGATAAATTTGGTAGTTTGTTCACTCAGATCCATTGGCCACATGAAGATCACCATCTTTATCACCATCTTTATCACCATGTTTGTCACCGTCGTCTCCATCTTTGTCCATCCCCTCAGTCCTGCCTTCCTCTGCCAAATCTCGCTGCTCCAATCGTTGCTCAGCTGCGGCTTGGTGCCCACGCTTAAAAACTGCTGGCAGCAGCCGCTTCAGTAGAGAAATCATCAGCAACGCGATGATCACTGTGGCGCCGTTGGTGCCAAGGGAACTCAGGAAAATCACCAAGTCCCCATGCTTGTTCATACTTACCTGGACAGGTTTCACTTTCGAGAATCTTCGAGGATCTTCGAGGCAATTATAGATGTACTGTAATTAGTCTGTAATTAGTCTGTAGCTGCAGCAATGCTGCTGATAAATCATGATAATCATGGGCATTCTTGCGGTTGAAATTCAAAAAGCACTCCAAAGCGCAGCTGTGTTACACCCTCCACGGCAGCTGCTGATTGGTTGGCGCTGGTATTCTGCAACGTCAGCAACACTTCTGGATGCAATGTGTAATCCAAGGGGGGGTGAAGGTCATCAACATCGCCCATGTTGCTCTGAACCGAGCCCTGAAGCAACAACTTAGCCCACTCTTTTTCACTCAGAGTTTTGTCGCCATAGCCACTGATGCTTGGCGAATCCTCGAAGTCTTCGGAAGTCTGTGCGAAAGCAGAATGACTTTGCAACAGGCCTCTGCTACGAGCAGCCTTCTCGCACTCTCCCATTCGGTATGGAGGCAGGGAATCTGGGGTAAATGGAAGCGTTAATTCAAACGCCTTTACTTTTCATCCACTGAAATCGCCATCTGACCTTGCTGGTCTGACATGTTGCATTTTTACCCCAGGTTCACTCAATGGGTAAGGTGGAGAATGCGTTGGGCTTGAGCCAACTGCAGCGTTCAGTGCCCGTGCAGGTCTGCAAGTCTTTTGCTCATGTGGGCACATCAGGATCATTTGCATGATCTGCTGCCTGGTAAAAACCAACGTGGTGGTGGTGGCGTAGCCTTTCATGTTTGTGCAAACCTCCGCTCCACTCAGACATCAAGAGAGGTTGTAGGGTGCGGCCAGGAAACCAGTTCACCACGGTGAAGCTGACAAAGTACCTTAGCTGCCCATGATCAGCTTCGATCAGCTTCGATCAGTTTCGATCAGTTTCTCAGCTTTTGCTGAAACCAGCATAGAAATCTCAACAGCTACCAAGTACCGAGTGGATCCGAGTGGCAAGTAGGTCCTGTGAGGAACTTCAGCACGCCTTCTGCATAGTGCAAAGCCGTAGGTCAAATTCGCGCCTTCGAAAAAGAGATTCGCCACAATGAGGCTGCCTCAACTGCAGGTCTCAAGCTCAGCAGCTCAGGTAGATCGACGCGGCCAAAATGTGAACAGCTTCAAGCATCTTCAAGCCAGGTAGAGAAATGCACTCAGGACTGACTCGGGATACTCTCTTTCGTAATTGCATGTGATGCAAATCGCATTGGTACAGAGAACGGGTAACGCAAACAAAGCATCACACACCTTGACATTGAAAAGCTGGACATCTTCCCCATTTTGACATTGCCTCATTTTCTGTCACTAGGTCAAATGAGAATGAGTGCCAGCCGAGGGTCGAATAAAAAGTTCCTGCAACAAACTGCCACTCCAAAAGCTCCAGAGAAAGGCTCGACTCCATTCAACATGTCAAACAGGATAATCAAAGTTTAAACCGGCTAAAAAGGCATCCTGAAGTTGATGAGAAAATCAAGCCCAGTGACAGAAGGTGGTCATCCTAGTAACCCGTATGTATCCCTATGTCAAAATATCACGACCTACACAAACCCCAAAACAATGCAGCACAGTACGTGCCCAAACCGCAGTCAGGAACGACTTCGTTGCCAAATGGATCCGTTATGCGCAAGCCCAGAGCAATGATCGCCATGAGCCTTCGGCCGTGAGCACAACGTGAGCACAACGTGAGCACAACTTCGTGACTTCTCTATGCTGGCTGGATGCCACCAGGTCACAGAAGAGTAGCCCAAAACATGCCAAAACGCCATTCATCAGCGTAGCGGCGCCAGAAGCCTGGGGAAAAGCATGGTCGAACTGTCGAACGATGAAGCTCCAAAATGCCACAAGGTCGACCCCGCCTGCGATGATAGCCCTGATTGGGATCTCTGAAAAGACTTTCATGTTGTCCCAGTTGTTCCAGACCTCAGGGCAAACATGCACACACACACACAAACGACTTCTGAGAATTCTAGGTTGGCAAACAATATGGCAATGGCAAGGCACTGCAATGAAGACAAGTCACCATAGACAGGATACTCACAACTTTCAAATTGAGGATGTCAGGCAAATACAAGACCTTCACCTGGAACCGGCAAGGGGCGGCACAGGGCAATCCCCCACATCCCTGTTGGCAATCCCAGCCGCCCCAGGGGCACCTTGACCTCATAGACATCTGTGTGAAGCAACGGATCGCTGGGCAGATTCCGTCGAAACTCACGATGCCACAGAGGCAGTGGCTCCGCTGCCTGGCTAATAACAGAATACGCTGCTGGATCAGGCCACGAAATGGGGAAAAAATAGAAAAAATCATCGTCTGCCCAAATCCACCCGTCCCATTCTTATCTATTTTGGGGATGCATGGTGAATACTTAAGTCCTCTTAAGTCATCTTCCGCCTTTGGTTGTTTAAGAGCAATGAGCTGTATGAGTTAGTCAGCCGTGGTTCTGATTTATTCGGAGCGATGTTCTTCCAGATGGGAATGAAGAGATCATCAGTTTCTTTAACATCATCGCCCAGCTCCACTGGCTGGTAGGTACAAATCCTTGGCGAATGCTCGCAGATTGCCGTTTCCAAAGCAGCAGTCTTGAAGTGCTAACATGTGACATGTGAGTAACTAGATGTAACGAGTGGCATCTCCCGGTTGGGAAGCACGGTGTACAGCGGCAAATGATACCTGCGATCGGGCAACGTCGGCATGGCTCGCTCTGATCAAGCCATGCCGGCAAGGAGTCTGTGGCTGTGATGACTCAGAAGACAACACATCGTGTCTCATGTGTGGCAACTCTATATCTATCTATCTATCTATCTATCTATCTATCCATCCATCCATCCATCCATCCATCTATCCATCTATCCATCTATCCATCTATCCATCTATCCATCTATCCATCTATCCGTCTATCTATCTATCTATCTATCCATCCATCCATCCATCTATCCATCTATCCATCTATCCATCTATCCATCTATCGATCTATCGATCTATCGATCTATCGATCTATCGATCTATCTATCTATCTATCCATGCATCCATCCATCCATCTATCCATCTATCCATCTATCCATCTATCCATCTATCCATCTATCCATCTATCCATCTATCCATCTATCTATCTATCCATCCATCCATCCATCCATCCATCTATCCATCTATCCATCTATCCATCTATCGATCTATCGATCTATCGATCTATCGATCTATCGATCTATCGATCTATCTATCTATCTATCTATCGATCTATCTGCCTATCTACCTATCTGCCTATCTATCTATCTACCTATCTACCTATCTACCTATCTACCTATCTACCTATCTACCTATCTACCTATCTACCTATCTATCTATCTATCTCTCTCTCTCTCTCTGCATCGCCCCCTCAACGACTTGAATCTATTATTCTTCAATGGAAAGGGATGGAAACGGATGGAAAAGGTCATCCAAATCCAAATCAATCAGCCAGCCTTTGTGGATCTGCCACACGGGGTTCTCCCATCAACAAGACCAGGAGCTTCGCAGCAGCAATGGGGGACATCCTGGATTGACACCCGTAGGGAGAAGTGATATCACCATGATCCACCTGTGTTTTGAATGTCTTTCCGTATGTTCCCATGCTCTTACAATAGGGAAAATGATAAATGGAGAATTAAGTGGATATATGATATATATATATATATGTGTGTGTGTGTGTCTATAGAATGGATATAAATGATATAAATGAATATAAATGATAGTGATAATGTGTGAGGGTGTGATGTGTTTTCTCCTCTCCCCCTGCAGGAGAGAGGCTTCAAAGTCTCCACGAACATGTTCACATGGCCTCACTGCAACTCTGAAAACCGTGGTTGTTAAGGGGACGTGGAACGACGCAGCGCACAGAGGTACACCGCCAAAAAAAGTTGTTCTGTTCTCTTCTGGGGCCTTGGCTATTGGTCCCAACAACACAAAGCCGCCTCACTTCTGCACGCAAGCTTTGTTGAACTTGATTGGGAGCTCGCTCCTGGATTTTGCCTGGTGGGATGTGGAGTCGGTTCCACAGTCACAGCAGTGGCTTCAGCTCATCAGTTTGCAATTTGTCAGCGCAGCTCGACGCCTAGCAGTTCCACACACGCTGCAGGATTGGCCTGGCACGTCAACTTCACTCTGCGGGGCTGTCACGGAGTAGTTCCATGAGTAAACGTCAGTTCACAGCTGGTCTGACCTGTTGCAGTTTGGAAGTCCGGCCTTTGCGATAATATTCATTTCAATGAACAATCGCCGGCTTTGAGCCGGATAGTGATAGGCTTCCCTCAGCCGACTCAACGAAAAAAAACCGATCCAGCTCCTGATGCACCGTTTTTCCGTTCCAGTCAACTTTCCACATCACGTGGCACTTGAAGTCTTTATGACTTTATGACAGGTCTGCTCTTGACATCACTTGCCTAGACAAGTCTGCTCTTGACATCACTTGCCTAGCAACGCTCCGTGATTAGTTTGGTCTTGTATAGTTTTGTCTTGACCGTCGGTCCAACAGAGCCAAGCAGCGTCAGTAGATGAAGCATCTGCTTTGGAAACCTGTCGCAGTTTGGACATGCTTGGAAATCGGAAAAAGATCTCAGCCTCCCCCAAAGTTTCCCCAAAGTCTGTCCAAGGAACGAAGACTTTTGCCCGACTGCAATTTCCAGCGGGGTCTTGTTGCGAATCATCTTGGCAAATTCGTCCTGTGGCTCACGGTAGCTCCAAATTCCTGTTCTTCACACCCTAAGAAACAATAGAAAACCATGGAAGCCCTGTCCTCCCGGCTTTGCAAACCCCTCACCGTGGTCAGTAGACCTGCTTTCTTCTCCACCAGGGTGTGGCACATCCGCCTGAGCATTCTTGGATATTCTTGGTATTTGCATCATAGCTGTAATTTGACGACACATCAAGGACATCATCGTTGGGCCGATTCCACCAAACTCACACACACTTGCTCAGAAACATCTTTGCGAATTATGATGTGGAACGCATCGTACGTGCAAAAACACTTCAGTTAAACCTGACAGGAAATGGTGCATGACCAGGCGCGAGAAACAGTGTAAAGGAATTCTTCTACGTCCTTGCTAGATGCAATTGTTCCATCACCATCTGAACCAACTCGTGATCTTCCAAACGGCAAGGTGGTTTTTGGGTTGGCCACTTCCCATTGCAGAAAATTGATATGAAAAATGAAGCAGGTACGTCGATGAGCGTCCCCATCGATATCACAGGCAACTGATGAGTGTCTTTGTTAGTGCCGGTCTCATCAGTGCCCCCGGCACCCCCTGCTAAATTAGAAGTTTTACATCTATTCAGATGGTTCACACACACACCCTCCCGCAGAGGGTGGAAAAATTAAGGTCCGGACAATGAAATGAAAATGAAGAGGAAGGGAAATGAAAATGAGGTGAAGGTGAAAATGAGATGAAAGTTACTTAACCAGGACGCAAAGAGGGGAACGCAAAAGAAGAAGGAAGGAGAAAACACCAACACATGAAACCTAGCCCAAAGCGGGCGAACCCTGGAAAGGCAAGGGAAAAGAAAAGCGGAGGGCCGACGGACACGGAACAAGACCAGCGGAGGGAGGGGAAGACGGAAGCGCCTGAACCAACCTAACACGGCGAAAACCTACGCCTACCTCGGCACGCGAAGGACCCAACCTACCTGTAGAGTGGAGAACACATGAAATAGGGGACCCATGGGGAACTAGTTAGTAAAAAGATGCATCCACATGGCATGCAAAATTCGTGATAAGGCTCAGAGGCCCTCTGCTTTCATTTCACAACCCTGTAAACGGCTTACGTCGTCAACCCCTGAATTACATGCACAATTGAACCTCACCAGAGTAACCAAAAGGAAGTGACCACACCTAAAGTCGTGTGCCTGCCTGGGTCATCTCTCATGACATGCATGAAGGTCATGTCTGTCTGTCACTTGCTGGAGCAGTATCCCAAAAAAACGAAATGTTGAAGCAGCTGACGGCTACGAACCCTTGAAGTGCCAGAAAAAGGTGAGTCCCTGGAACGGCGGGCAGTTGTTCAACCAAACGACTTCGACAGGGTGAAAATCGAAAAATGGCCAGCTGTTTCACTTTACTTAAACGAATTACTAATTCAAAAATGTCAATCCAGAGGTCATTTCAAAGTGTCAATTCTATGCTTAGACAAGCATTCCCCGAAGGGTTCATGCCACCTTGACGAATCCAGCATGAATCACACACTTGCTCAGAAACATCTTTGCGAATTATGATGTGGAATGCATCGTACGTGCAAAAACACTTCAGTTAAACCTGACAGGAAATGGTGAATGACCAGGCGCGAGAAACAGTGTAAAGGAATTCTTTCTACGTCCTTGCTAGATGCAATTGTTCCATCTGAACCAACTCGTGATCTTCCAAACGGCAAGGTGGTTTTTGGGTTGGCCACTTCCCATTGCAGAAAATTGATATGAAAAATGAAGCAGGTACGTCGATGAGCGTCCCCATCGATATCACAGGCAACTGATGAGTGTCTTTGTTAGTGCCGGTCTCATCAGTGCCCCCGGCACCCCCTGCTAAATTAGAAGTTTTACATCTATTCAGACGGTTCACACACACACCCTCGAGATGAAAGTTACTTAACCAGGACGCAAAGAGGGGAACGCAAAAGAAGAAGGAAGGAGAAAACACCAACACATGAAACCTAGCCCAAAGCGGGCGAACCCTGGAAAGGCAAGGGAAAAGAAAAGCGGAGGGCCGACGGACACGGAACAAGACCAGCGGAGGGGGGGGAAGACGGAAGCGCCTGAACCAACCTAACACGGCGAAAACCTACGCCTACCTCGGCACGCGAAGGACCCAACCTACCTGTAGAGTGGAGAACACATGAAATAGGGGACCCATGGGGAACTAGTTAGTAAAAAGATGCATCCACATGGCATGCAAAATTCGTGATAAGGCTCAGAGGCCCTCTGCTTTCATTTCACAACCCTGTAAACGGCTTACGTCGTCAACCCCTGAATTACATGCACAATTGAACCTCACCAGAGTAACCAAAAGGAAGGGACCACACCTAAAGTCGTGTGCCTGCCTGGGTCATCTCTCATGAAATGCATGAAGGTCATGTCTGTCTGTCACTTGCTGGAGCAGTATCCCAAAAAAACGAAATGTTGACGCAGCTGACGGCTACGAACCCTTGAAGTGCCAGAAAAAGGTGAGTCCCTGGAACGGCGGGCAGTTGTTCAACCAAACGACTTCGACAGGGTGAAAATCGAAAAATGGCACGCTGATCACTTTACTTAAACGAATTACTAATTCAAAAATGTCAATGCAGAGGTCATTTCAAAGTGTCAATTCTATGCTTAGACAAGCATTCCCCGAAGGGTTCATGCCACCTTGACGAATCCAGCATGAATCACACACTTGCTCAGAAACATCTTTGCGAATTATGATGTGGAATGCATCGTACGTGCAAAAACACTTCAGTTAAACCTGACAGGAAATGGTGAATGACCAGGCGCGAGAAACAGTGTAAAGGAATTCTTTCTACGTCCTTGCTAGATGCAATTGTTCCATCTGAACCAACTCGTGATCTTCCAAGCGGCAAGGTGGTTTTTGGGTTGGCCACTTCCCATTGCAGAAAATTGATATGAAAAATGAAGCAGGTACGTCGATGAGCGTCCCCATCGATATCACAGGCAACTGATGAGTGTCTTTGTTAGTGCCGGTCTCATCAGTGCCCCCGGCACCCCCTGCTAAATTAGAAGTTTTACTCCTAATCAGACGGTTCACACACACACCCTCGAGATGAAAGTTACTTAACCAGGACGCAAAGAGGGGAACGCAAAAGAAGAAGGAAGGAGAAAACACCAACACATGAAACCTAGCCCAAAGCGGGCGAACCCTGGAAAGGCAAGGGAAAAGAAAAGCGGAGGGCCGACGGACACGGAACAAGACCAGCGGAGGGGGGGGGAAGACGGAAGCGCCTGAACCAACCTAACACGGCGAAAACCTACGCCTACCTCGGCACGCGAAGGACCCAACCTACCTGTAGAGTGGAGAACACATGAAATAGGGGACCCATGGGGAACTAGTTAGTAAAAAGATGCATCCACATGGCATGCAAAATTCGTGATAAGGCTCAGAGGCCCTCTGCTTTCATTTCACAACCCTGTAAACGGCTTACGTCGTCAACCCCTGAATTACATGCACAATTGAACCTCACCAGAGTAACCAAAAGGAAGTGACCACACCTAAAGTCGTGTGCCTGCCTGGGTCATCTCTCATGAAATGCATGAAGGTCATGTCTGTCTGGAGCAGTATCCCAAAAAACGAAATGTTGACGCAGCTGACGGCTACGAACCCTTGAAGTGCCAGAAAAAGGTGAGTCCCTGGAACGGCGGGCAGTTGTTCAACCAAACGACTTCGACAGGGTGAAAATCGAAAAATGGCCAGCTGTTTCACTTTACTTAAACGAATTACTAATTCAAAAATGTCAATTCAGAGGTCATTTCAAAGTGTCAATTCTATGCTTAGACAAGCATTCCCCGAAGGGTTCATGCCACCTTGACGAATCCAGCATGAATCACACACTTGCTCAGAAACATCTTTGCGAATTATGATGTGGAATGCATCGTACGTGCAAAAACACTTCAGTTATGAGATTCTTTGCCAGCCAGAGACTGGAAAACCCTCTAAAGGTTGTTTTATCCTTTTTTATCCTATTTGAAATTTCTGGGATATCCTTCTTTTATCCTTTTTTTATCCTCCCCGGATTTTTCCTCAATTTTGGATATCCTTTTTTTATCCTTTTTTTATCATTTTTTTATCCTCTTGTCCTTGACCTGGATATCCTTGTTTTATCCTCCCCTGATTTTTCCTCAATTTTGGATATCCTTTTTTTATCCTTTTTTTATCCTTTTTATATCCTCCTAGCTGCAAAATGGATCAAAATTGGCTTCCCCAGGTACAAAAGGCAAAGGGCTGAGGAAAAGTGAAGGATTTTATCCTTTTTTATCCTCCTAGCTGCAAAATGGATCAAAATTGGCTTCCCCAGGTACAAAAGGCAAAGGGCTGAGGAAAAGTGTAAGATTTAATCCTTGTTTTATCCTTTTTTTATCCTTTTTTTATCCTTTTTTTATCCTCCTAGCTGCAAAATGGATCAAAATTGGCTTCCCCAGGTACAAAAGGCAAAGGGCTGAGGAAAAGTGAAGGATTTTATCCTTTTTTTATCCTTTTTTATCCTTTTTTTATCCTTTGTTTATCCTTTTTTATCCTCCTAGCTGCAAAATGGATCAAAATTGGCTTCCCCAGGTACAAAAGGCAAAGGGCTGAGGAAAAGTGTAGGATTTTATCCTTTTTTTATCCTTTTTTTATCCTCCCAGCTGCAAAATGGATCAAAATTGGCTGCTCCAGGTACAAAAGGCAAAGGGCTGAGGAAAAGTGTAAGATTTAATCCTTGTTTTATCCTTTTTTTATCCTCCTAGCTGCAAAATGGATCAAAATTGGCTTCCCCAGGTACAAAAGGCAAAGGGCTGAGGAAAAGTGTAGGATTTTATCCTTTTTTTATCCTTTTTTTATCCTCCTAGCTGCAAAATGGATCAAAATTGGATTCTGATCCACTTTGCAGCTGGGAGGATAAAAAAAGGATAAAAAAAGGATAAAAAAAAGGATTAAAAAAGCATAAAATCCCACACTTTTCCTCAGCCCTTTGCCTTTTGTACCTGGGGAAGCCAATTTTGATCCACTTTGCAGCTGGGAGGATAAAAAAATGATAAAAAAAGGATTAAAAAAAGGATAAAACCTTCACTTTTCCTCAGCCCTTTGCCTTTTGTACCTGGGGAAGCCAATTTTGATCCATTTTGCAGCTAGGAGGATAAAAAAAGGATAAAAAAATGTTACAAAAAGGATAAAAAAATGATAAAAAAAGGATATCCAAAATTGAGGAAAAATCAGGGGAGGATAAAAAAAGGATATCCAGGTCAATAAAAAAAGGATAAAAAAAGGATTAAAAAAGGATAAAAAAAGGATAAAAAAAGGATTTCCAAAATTGAGGAAAAATCAGGGGAGGATAAAAAAAGGATAAAAAAAGGATATCCAGGTCAAGGGCAAAAGGATAAAAAAAGGATAAAAAAACATTTTTTTCTGACCTCAGTCTGTGGCTCAAAGATACACTTCAGTTAAACCTGACAGGAAATGGTGAATGACCAGGTGCGAGAAACAGTGTAAAGGAATTCTTTCTACGTCCTTGCTAGATGCAATTGTTCCATCTGAACCAACTCGTGATCTTCCAAACGGCAAAGTGGTTTTTGGGTTGGCCACTTCCCATTGCAGAAAATTGATATGAAAAATGAAGCAGGTACGTCGATGAGCGTCCCCATCGATATCACAGGCAACTGATGAGTGTCTTTGTTAGTGCCGGTCTCATCAGTGCCCCCGGCACCCCCTGCTAAATTAGAAGTTTTACATCTATTCAGATGGTTCTCACACAAACACACACAGACAGACAGACAGACAGAGACAGACCGACAGACCGACAGACCGACAGACCGACAGACCGACAGACCGACAGACCGACAGACCGACCGACCGACCGACCGACCGACAGACAGACAGACAGTAGGGACAAACCCATTGGATCAACTTGGATTTGAAGGTCCTCGATCTTGGCGACTTACTTCAGGTTCGTCTGCTCTCATACCGATGTGTATGTTTACGCATACACATCTGGTCCGGCCAGTTGATATTGCAAAGTAACCCCCCCACCCACCAAAAAAAACATGATATGAATCAGAAGAATTGTGTTCAAATGATGTCCAAATATAGGTACAAACAGGTGCAAACTGTTGGAATATATTTGAAAGCATATGTATGTTCAAACTTCAAACAGACAGTTTTCACCAAGTGCACCGGACGCTTTCTTTGTTCCAGGAACTCCAAGGCTGCAGTTCGCAACTCCGCTGAGATGGATGGCAACCCGGTCCAACCCTTGGAACTTCGCAGCCAGGATTAGATGATCTCAGGTGATCTTAGATGATCTTAGATTCTTAGATTATCTGCGGTGATCTTAAATGATTTAGAATGATTTAGATGATCTTAGAAGCTCATCATCCACACAAAAAGCAACATACGTTTTCGACACTGAGCCAACATGTGCGCAGATTTTCAGTTGGTGTCTGGTCACTGGTGGGAAAACAAAAGGCAGCAAGGTGTAAGGATAGCATGGGAGGGGATTAGATATATGATATGTATATCTATATATATACATTTTTTATGTATTTATTTATTTACTTATTTATATATTTATTTATGTGCGTGTGTGATATGCGTACAAATTGCTTTTCCCAACGAACTGAGCAAGCCAAGTGCAACACTTGGAAATCACTCACCGAGGGACGATGATGTGCAGTGGTGACATGCCATCAGCATTTGCCAATGTCGCAGAGGTGGGGGCGTTCTCCAAGATCCAAATAGCAGTTTCAACTTGACCTGTAGAAGTGGGGTACCATGGGGAACCTAATGGTACCTGACTGGCCTTGAATTTCCTTCCATAACTGCTGGCATGCAGTTTATGTGCCCCACGGAGCTGCAATAGATTCTGCGACCCATGCGCAACCCTGGTTACATTGGAATTGACATGAATTAATATGAATTAATTGATCATAGCAAACCACCTTGAACTGTGACATGACACTTCTTACTGATACGTTTGCAGCCTGGGCACTCATGAACAAAGCAGCCAGCAGGGGTGTGTAATGCTCTCTGCAATCCTTGGCCGATCTCTAGACAGTCTGTGAAACATTCTAGACCACGCTGGAGCTCATTATTCATTTAATAGCTGATTATCTAATTATTTATTTTATTGTTGTTATTATGGGTATGATTATCATTGCTATTATTATAATTATTATTACCATTATTATGCTTGTTTATGTTATTGTTATTTGCTATTTTATTGTTGTTGTTGTTATTATTATTATTATTACCCACAGACACCGTATGTTGCCCAAGCCCAGAATAGCGTAAATTACAAAGATTTTTTGTTCACACTATACATCTAATATAAATTCTCCCACCCCCGTTAAACTTCTACATTCATTGAAGATTCTTCAATAAGGGTTTAATTCTCCCACCCCCATAAAACTTCTACATTCATTGAAGATCTTCAATAAGGGTTTAATTCTCCCACCCCCGTTAAACTTCTACATTCATTGAAGATCTTCAATAAGGGTTTAATTCTCCCACCCCCGTTAAACTCTTCCATTCATTGAAGATCTTCAATAAGGGTTTAATTCTCCCACCCCCATAAACTTCTACATTCATTGAAGATCTTCAATAAGGGTTTAATTCTCCCACCCCCGTTAAACTTCTACATTCATTGAAGATCTTCAATAAGGGTTTAATTCTCCCACCCCCGTTAAACTTCTACATTCATTGAAGATCTTCAATAAGGGTTTAATTCTCCCACCCCCGTTAAACTTCTACATTCATTGAAGATCTTCAATAAGGGTTTAATTCTCCCACCCCCATAAAACTTCTACATTCATTGAAGATCTTCAATAAGGGTTTAATTCTCCCACCCCCCCCATAAAACTTCTACATTCATTGAAGATCTTCAATAAGGGTTTAATTCTCCCACCCCCGTTAAACTCTTCCATTCATTGAAGATCTTCAATAAGGGTTTAATTCTCCCACCCCCATAAAACTTCTACATTCATTGAAGATCTTCAATAAGGGTTTAATTCTCCCACCCCCGTTAAACTCTTACATTCATTGAAGATCTTCAATAAGGGTTTAATTCTCCCAACTCCGTTAACCTCTTACATCCATTGAAGATCTTCAATCATCATCATCATCATCACCAACATGCCGGGAACGTCCCTGTAAATCTCCGGGCAACACAACGCGTCTGGCCGCATTATTATTATTGTTGTTATTATTATTATTATTCTTATTATTATTATTATTGTTGTTATTGTTATTATTATATATTCGTTTATAGCTGGCACAGCCTGCACCAAACCTTGCGAGGTGACTCTTACCTTGTGACCCCTTCGGATGCGGTCCCAGGCTCAGTGGTTTCACCATTCTCTTCACAGACTGTGCCCAGAATTGACTGATAGCACAGCACGTCTGGAGAGCAATGGTCTACCAACCATTGTAGCACTGTAGTGCTGCCCAAGCTGGCGGCCAAGTGCACTGCATGGATCTTGATTTCCACATGGGTCCTTTTTTGGGGGTCTCGAAAGGAGACATACAGGGCCTCCCATTTGTCTGCCGTGTCACCCTTCTCAGGGGCCACGGGGTCCAAATATTTGGAGACCGCTTCGCCGCCGCCGAGTCTACAGGCATGCTCGATCTTCTTCAACATGGGATTGCCACAGAGCACATACCTCAGTCGCTGGGTCTTGCCGGGTCCCCATGTATTATGCAATGGTTCCCGATGTCACAGAGGTCCATGTGAAGCCCATATCAAAGGCCACGGCCTTTGATAAAAGGGGTCCTTGGTGCAAGGCTGTACCTGGGCAAAGCAGGAGGAAAGCGTGCCAAATGAGCATTGCACATGGCTCACTGCCACACCTCACCTGTTGACATCGAAACCCTCGTGCTGAAGTGAGGGACACTGCCATCGCATAGTTCCAACGATCGCCGCAGGTGACTCCGATGGGGCTTCTCCTTTCAGATGCAACTCTTGCAGCACAACACCAATACCGAGATCCGAAAGGATCCGAAAGGGGAAAACTGCACGATTTTATTGCACAAACTTTCACCGTCACACCATATTTAACCATCTTTCACCCTAAGTCCTCCCTGGACCTGCTGACTCTAAACGCATCCTGAGCCGCGATGGTCGGACCACGCATCATCAGGTGCACACAGCAGTTGTGCAAGAAACAGTGCCAAGCCCAATCGGCCCAAGCCCGAGCGGCTTAAGCCGCTCAATCTGAGGCGACAGCATGCGCGTCATCCAGCAGCGGTTGGTTTAAGTCGTTGGGCCCGTTGGGCCCATTGGGTCTTCCAACCGGTCCAGCATGGGGCGACACAGGCACCTGCAGAGGTGATGATAGGCATTCATGGTGCTGGATGCATCCCAAAAAAAAAAACGTGTTCAATTTCAACCCAAATCAAAGATTAAGATGTGTCATCAAAATTGTCACCTGAAGGCTGAACTCTGGGGCAGGCCTCCCTGTCAGCATCCTCTTCTTGTATCAGCCCCGCTTCTGGGTCCGAACCATGCATGTGGACATCCATCCCGGCGCGCCAATGTGTTGCTAGAATGACACGAGCTCACGTTCATGTCACCAAAAGATGTCGCAGTTTGGACGCAGTTTGGACGCAGTTTGATGAATTTGCCGTCTCTTGCTCACAGTCTGCCACACTGTGAATCGAGCCATGCCACTAGTCACTGAGCGCCAGTCACTTCTCTGAATTTTTTTTGGTCCTTCTGCCGACCCTAAGTGCATTGCGTTGGACGGTGCATTGTGGTGTGCGAATTGATGCCAAGATCACATCTTCCTTGAAAGCTAAATGTATGGCGGCGCTCTGGCTGTTCTTCCTGCAATTTACAGTACATCCAGTTTGCACTGTCAATCTGCATCTGCATCAGCCAATGAAGCGTTCCTCTTGTGTCGCAAACTCTTCATGAACATCAAAATTCATTAAAACATGTTTGGAAGCCGCAACCCTGGATATTTCTACTACAGCCATCTCCAGGGTCAGATTCAGCCGCGTCTTTTGTGTCTCTGCCCTAAGGCCAAGCATTGACATGGGCACTGGGCGGAGCCTGGTCCTAGTAAGTAAGTAAGTAAGTAAGGAAGTAAGAAAGTAAGGAAGTAAGGAAGTAAGGAAGGAAGGAAGTAAGTCAGTCAGTAAGTAAGTAAAAAGTAAGAAAGAAAGTAAGTAAGTAAGTATGTGTGTCGGTCATGTCATATCATGTCCTGTCCTGTCCTGTCTGTCTGCCTGTCTGTGTGTGTGTGCGTGCATGCATGCATGCATGCATGCATGCATGCAAGGATGCACGCATGCATGTGTGCATGTGTGCATGTGGGCATGCAAGTATGTGTGCATGTGTGTATGTGTGTACGTGTGTATGTGTGTATGTGTGTCTGTGTGTGCGCGTGTGCGCGCGTATGGGTGTATGTGTGTGTGTATATGCGTGTATGCGTGTATGTGTGTGTGTGGGTATGCGTGTATGCGTGTATGCGTGTATGCGTGTATGTATGAATCTATGAATTTATGAATCTATGAATCTTTGAATCTTTGAATCTATGAATCTTTGAATCTATGAACCTATGAATCTATGAATCTATGAATGTAGGTATGTAGGTATGTAGGTATGCAGGTATGTAGGTATGTATGTGTGTATGTGTGTATGTGTGTATGTGTGTGTATGTATGGTATGCAGGTATGTAGGTATGAAGGTATGTAGGTATGTAGGTATGTTTGTATGCAGGTATGTATGTATGTTTGTTTGTTTGTTTGTATGCAGGTATGTATGTATGTATGTATGTATGCAGGTATGTATGTATGTATGTATGTACGTACGTATGTATGTACGTACGTATGTATGTATGTATGTATGTGTATGTATGTGTATGTATGTGTATATGTATATGTATATGTGTGTGCGTGTATGTGTGTGTGTGTGTCTGTCTGTGTGTCTGTGTGTCTGTATGTCTGTATGTCTGTATGTCTGTATGTCAGTATGTATGCATGCATGCATGCATACATGCAATGTAATGCAATGTAATGTAATGGATTGGAATGTAATGCAATGCAATGCAATGTAATGCAATGTAATGCAAGGTAATGCAATGTAATGCAATGTAATGCAATGTAATGCAATGTAATGCAATGTAATGCAATGTAACGCAATGCAATGCAATGTAATGCAATGTAATGCAATGTAATGCAATGTAACGCAATGTAATGCAATGTAATGCAATGTAATGCAATGTAATGCAATGTAATGCAATGTAATGCAATGTAATGCAATGCAATGTAATCTAATGCAACACAATGTAATGCAATGCAATGTCATGCAATGTAGCCTACAGTAATGTAACGTATCGTATCGTATGTTGGTTTTTTTGTATGCTTGTTTGTTTGCATGTATGTATGATATGTCAGCAAGACCAGATCCAAAAGGTTTTGTGGTTTTGCAGCACCGGGTTTCGGAGAATTGGTTAGGAAAGTCCACATGCTGTATTTAATACTGCAAAAAATGCACACATATTAAAGATGTTGGCAATGGTTCGAGTCTCAGCTTTCTAGAACGTTGTTTCTAGGCTGGTGGTGGTTTGTTTTTGAACACGACGCAGCCTGCACAGGAAAAGGAGAAAAGGACGCAAATTGATATCGTCCTCTGAGGCGGCTGCGATACAAATATTGGCACTATTGGCACTCGATTCCTTGAAAATCCCCCTTTATATACGCCTATGCACATTGGCAGCTGTTTTGAAACATGATATATATATATATATACACTGTTCCACGCTTTTTGGCTGATGTTTATGTTTTTCGTGACGTGTGCATAAGCTACCGCACATACTCTCGGGTAGAAAGCCGCGCAAGGTTCTTGGAATCTTCACATGGATGGATCAAGCAGGGGACAAGCAGAGCTGCCTTTGCCAAAGTGATATATTGACATATGTGCTCCATGTGTTTCTCCTCCCACGTCGTTTTTCATCGTGCAGAGTGAAAGACCGTAAATACCTTCAATGTTACTAGAGATACGGGAATATTGCAACCAGCCTGTACCAGCCCTAGCTCCCCACCTGCCAGGTGATGGTCTCTAGATTTTAAGTGATTTTAGCCTGTCCGCCTCTTCCCCGCGCGACAACTGCGAGCTCCAGATCTCAGTGAGCACGCGAACCTCAACAGCGAGCACAAGATGTCAGATAGAACGCCACAAAGAATGCCAAATAGAATGTCAGAATATGTGTCAAATAGAATGCCAGATATAATGTCAGAACATGTGCTAGATAGAATATCAGTTTGTGGGGGGATCACTCGAAGAAAGTAATTTTGTTTTTGGCCTTTCGTGCTGCATGTGAGCTTTTTGCTCCCCTACCCTTGGGCTTTGTTTCTCCAATGCTTTGTGCTCAGGCACATCAGTAGCCCATCTAATGGCGACCTTTTTTCAGCCTCGGTGTCCGGCTAAGCAATGCACGGGGTGCCTTTTTTTGCACCTCCGGATATCAAAAGGAGTCCATCCAGCAGTGGAGGGATCAATCCAACATCTGCTGGCAAAATCCTGCTCGGATGGATGACCAGGAAAAAGCTGCAGCCCCTTTTAGGCATCGCCAAAGCATCAGAGCAGTACGTAATACTCAAGTATACAATCATGTCCAAGCGACTTTTCGTGTATCTTGAAGGAAGATCTAGCTCAGAGCCTATACTCAATGTACCTCTGTCTTTTGCAGGGTCTCCCCTTCACCTGGCAGGTGTCGAGTTGTACTCCCGGGCCTCCAATTGTTGTCCCTTCAGAGGCCGACAAAGGGAGCCCAGGAGGCACCGGTCTGGTACCTGACCCACGGATACCCATAGAAACAAGGTTCGCAACCAAGAGTTTGGATGTTTCTTGGGGTATATGTCTTACTTGTCCGCCAGTGTGCGGTGTGTATCAAGCGGTCTTGGATGTCAGAGTTCCCAAGCAGAAGCATTCAGCCACCGTGGATGCTTGCACACCATGCAGCAAATGTCCATCCCAAAGCGTTACCAACCGTTCTATATAAATCTCACCCAACCTGCTGCTGAGAGCCTTTATCCAAAGCCTTTATCCTAGAACTTCTCAAATTTTCGCAACTGCTGTTTGCCCTGTACTTTCCCCAGCCTGAGTCCCACCAAAGACTGATGCTTCCTCAAGGAGCGTTACATTTCGTCCAATCACCAAGCGTTGCAAAATGATGGAGCCGTCCAGTTCCTGAGGCTTGAAATAATCAGCTGCATTCCATGTGCATTCCACGTGCGTGAGCCTCGTGCCGTCCAAGGCTCCATCGAATGTGGGGACAAACGTGCCACACCAAACTGGCTGTCATCGCCAATCTCCAAGAGCCACGGTTCGTGAAAGCCCAAATCGTCATCGAAGCAAACGCGCGCGCCCACGCGTGCACCCAAGAGACGTAGGAATGTGGAAAACCATGGGGTTTGCAAAAGCAAAGAGGTCCAAAGCCGAGACAAAAACAATGCCTCCTGGGCGTGGAACAGTGGAACAGCTTGGAAGGGGAGCCAAGTGAAAGAGTATATATATATATGTATGTGTGTGTGTGTATGCATGTATATATGTAAATATACATAGAGGATCATAGAGGGAGAGGGAGAGAGAGAGAGAGGGAGAGAGAAATCCTAAAGCGGAAGTGGAAGATATTCCACTCACATCCATTCCCTCGAAAAGTCAAGACGCCATCACCATTTTCCACAGGTGTGATCCAAGGGTGTTTTCCGTCAAAGTCGTCACTGGCCAATCCTTGGATGTGAGCCTCAAGCAGGTCACACCAGCCCAGTAGATGGCGATGCAAAGCAACAAAGCCTCAGTGCTCAGTGGCAATTCCCTCCATAACGGAGGAGGGACTACTACACAATCTCTAGAAAGGCCTCAAAGGAAGAACATCCAACTATCCATACCATGATGCAAGAAATGGGGCAAGTCACAAAGCAATGTTTCAACCAAGCTGTCTCGACAACAATGTATCTAATTTCGGTGTGTCGAACTGTTGTGGATGGTGTTCCTTCAAAAAGTTGCACGCAGCAGCCGCGCAACGAGAAAATATCCAGCAGCGCTGGTGAGACAAAAGCGCCACCAGAAGAACCCAAGATCAGAGCAGAATGTGTAACTGGACTGCTTCATCCAGAAAGAAAAGGTTGGAAGCAGCACCAATGGCCTACAAGTTGATTGAAAAGCAAGAATTCCTCTCAATCAGGTTTCTGGGAAGGGGGGCATCAAAAATCGGTCACGTAAAAACAGTGCCAGGAGATGCCAGGAGGCTGTAAACTGATGGCCCTTTGCAAAGTGGGCAGAAAGATTCCATGCAGAAACCACTGCAGCCAGCATCGTTTTTCTCGTCGCGTGCCCGACGAGCTTTTGCCAATCGCCACTGCTGGGTTTCCGGCGAAAGTGTGTGCTGCCAAGCACAGCTCGCCCGGCGGCACGTAGCTGCAGGCAGCCACAGAGGCCCCTGCCTTGCAAGGGGAAAATGGAAGTGAACACATTGGTCACATTGGATTTGATTGTGAAAACCCCCTAGAAATTTTTGGATTGTATAACCCCATCAAATAATCAATCAACAAGGGTTTTGAACACTGCTCACTGCTCATGTTCTGTTCTCTCCAAAACCGCCCAAAGGTTCTCTGAAGAATTAAACAAATGCTTTGAGGTCTTCCAAAACCCGACTGAACTGACTGAACGCACTGCCCAGGAGATTGGATGAAATTGGCCATACTGCTTGATGAGCGCATGATGAGCGCCCACGCTCTTCTTGATAGTTCTTTATAAAATCCAGTAGGCACACACCCTCAATTCAATCTCAATTCAATCTGCTCGAACTCTTTTTACACTCCTCTCTGTCATCTGACACTGAAAGAAAGGAGCAGTCCTCCATGTGGCACCCCGAATCCAAAAAGCTCCCAGCACCAAGGTAGCAATCTTCACCGATGTGCACTTCATGAAACTCCTTGTCAGCACCTCTAGGGTACATCAGAATGATGCTGGGCGTATGCACTTAATCACTCGATTCGGTAGAGATACTATTGGACTGCCTAGGTCATTATAAATCAAGCACATCACCACTATGGAGACCATGTCACATATGCTACTTGGATACAGTTGCAAATGCTTAGATGCTGCATTGGTTCCATAGACCTGTTGGTCTACATCCGTAGCATCGGCCCGATTCGATACGACAAATCCGCCGGCCTGCCGGCGTGTCTTCTGGATGTTCTTGTGATACATTTTGTGACAGCTTTAGTTTCACCTATAGATTGCTCCCACGACGGATTTTTATTTTCGCTGCCCTACCCCCCAACCCCCCCACATATACACTAATAGTCTGGTATAGTCTAGTCTCTCAAGCGAGATAGCACTGACCTTATTTACATCATCATTTCGGTGGTCGTCATCATCATCATCATCATCATCATAATCATCATCATCTCGTCATGATCATCACCATGATCGTCATGATCATCATCGTCGTCGTCGTCTTCTTCTTCTTCGTCTTCTTCTTCTGCTTCTTCTTCTTCTTCTTCTTCTTCTTCTTCTTCCGTTCTCTTCCTTCGTCCTCCTTCATCCTCCCATGTCTGTCTTCTCTTTCGTTCCTCCGGCTCGCCCTGGGCTGCGGCATTTTTCCACGCTTTCTCCACGTTTTACAGCCCGTTCTCGTCCCTGGATGAGGCATTTTGCACGTTTTCTCCACGGTTTCCTGCCACTTCCAGGTTCTAACCTGCCGCTTTTGCGCCCAACACTTTCCACAAGCACCTGCCACTGCTGCTCTTCCTCTGCACTCGCGGCCTTCTCCGCCGGCACTCTCACAGCCATGCCGCTTGCATCTACCCACTTCACTCCCTTCTGTTCAATCTCCACGGTCTTACCCACCACCAGCTTCTACACAAACCAACCTTTACACCAACCAGCTTTTATGCAAGCACTCTTTTAAGCCAAGCACTTTTTGCGGAAATCCGCTTTTACACCGACCAGCCTTTGCACAAACCCGCTCTTACACAACTCGCTTTTCCACAAACCACCTTTTACACCAACCAGCTTTTACCAGTACAACCCAGCTTCTACACGCACCACTGTTTCGACAAACCAACCTTTTACACCAAGCAGCTTTGCACAACCCCTGCTTTGGGCCTGTAGGCCAAAGGTCAGAAGACTGGCGGAATGCCGAAGGCTGTTAAATGTACCACAAATATAACACCTCAAAAACTCCACAATATCACAGAACCATACCTCTGAGCACCACCCTTCCCATCTCACTACTTGGTCACGGACACTAGCTGACTAGCTTTCATCATCTTTCACCCGTTGGTGGTAGCACTGCGAACACTCAAATTCTGATTGTTCGCGGAATTGGGGCCTTGGCCTTGCAAGGCAAAATCCGACAGGCCTCGCAGGGAGGGGACGACATCACCGACATCACCTATGTAGCCTTTTACTTTGTGAACCTATCAGCAGTACCCTTTGGGGAAATTCTTCCCAACCCAGAAAGCAAGAGAAAGGAGAGAATCCAAGCAGCCCAGCAGAACAAAGACATCAAAGGGGAGAATTTCTTTGTGGCCTCCAAGAAATGTGTTGGACCCAATCCGAACCAGCTCTCCACCCTCCAAGACCCGCAACCAGCTGGGCATTGTCAGCTCAGCTGCTCCGGCGACCTCTGCCCCACAAAGGTAACAGGAGAAACGCAGAAGCCACTCTGGCACCTGGTCGCACCACCGCAACGCAGGAACCCAGGGGATAGTGAGGATAGTGGAATGGGATATGAAAGAAATCCTGCGTGGAAAAAATCATGAACATGAAAATGTTCCCTCGAGACAAAGGAACGCTTGAGATGAAGATGTTTGCGCTGGCTAAGATCCAGGTGGACACTCGGAAACAGCCATAGCGAAAGACAGGCAATGTGCCCGGACGAAGCCTGCTTGCGTTGTTCATCACGGGATGGGGTGACATGTTCTGCTTTGCCACCATTTGCCACCAGAACTTACATGACACTCATGACAAACGATTATGTTGAATGGAACAAAGTGCCTTCAATCTTCAGGAGCATCCCATCAGGTGCACCAACAAATGTGCCGGTTTTGAAGACCTTTAAAGCAGGCCTGCCCAAAAGCATTTTGTATTCCCAAACTCACACTACCCTTGTCCAAAACAGAGACCGCATGAATGGTGTGACTCGGAGGCCTTCCCACCAACAACCATTTCAGGAGGACAAAGAGCATCAAAGCGGTGCTCCCAGCCAGCATCAGCGAAACGGTGGCTCCAACCATCAACGCCAAAAATCCATGAGCCCGTTGGAACCCCAAGAACATGATGTAGAGCATTCCAACAAACGCATAGGGATGGATCACCAAACTTGGCTGTGCAACCGACAAAAACAAACAACTCTTCCCATTATAATTCTCCCAGAGGGAGAGGAGAGGGAAAAAAAGGAAAATTAAAGATCAAGATTCTCAAGCATCAACAATCCAAGCCAAGCTGCACGTAGAAGAACTTCAACCAATCGACACAGCCCGGTGCTGCCAGGACCTTCGCGTCCTTCGCCTCAGCCGTCGCCCCCATGGGCACGGTGGAGAGCGGTCGCAGCACCACGCCATGCAGCGTGGCCCCGGGCTCCACAACGCAGCGTCGGGCCACAGAGCAGCATGCCAGCTCCACCGCTGCCAGGATCACTTCGCCATCCACTTGGCAATGGCACCTAAAAATCTTCAAACATCAAGCATCTTCAAACATCTTCAAACATGTGTAGAGGGGCAGAAAGTTGAGATTTATTCAGGATACAATCATATGATATCATATGTACATTGTGGTTTGAAGGGAAAACCCAACTCAGATATGCAAACCGACGCTGATGTAGTTTCCGATGGTTTTGGAATAGATCCTGATGACAGGCTAGTGCCCAGACCTAAATTTACTTGAGACTCTCGAAGGTGGTTGTAGATCAACGGGGTCGGGAATAGCGAGTACAGCATCGCTGTGTCATATACAGTAGCTCTTAGTAGGACCTTAATCGTGATGAATCACAAAACCTCAAAGACATACATTACATGGGCTAGTGGAGATTGGGAAAGAGCTCTTACTCAACATGTTCCCTTTTAGCCTTCTCGTTTTTCTATGTTCCCTATCGTTCTTGTGTGATCTTATCATGGCCGTTTCCAGCTACAAGCTTGAAAACAATGTTTATTTATATAAAAATGCAAAAAAATGCGTTTTGAAAATGCGATTGGAAAAATGTGAAAAATTGCATTTCAAAAATGTGAAAAAATGGTGAAAAAATGTGGGAAAACAGGAAATTACATGTTTTAATACTTTTCCTAATTTAAATTAAAAAGATACATTCATTGTGAACCTATTGACATGAATCATTGAAAATGAATATATGCTTATGTGGAATCCTAATATTTAAGTTTAATATTCTACAAATTTAACATTGGGTTTCAAAGAAAACCTGAAAAACACCTATATCTGGAAAAAAATGGAAAAATGGAGCTAAGGAACAGGAACTCTTCAACTGCATTTTGTTCCCATTCTTTCACATTTTTCGCATGTTTTTACATTTGTCACATTTTTTCACATGGTCAAAACGCATGTTTTCACATTTTTTCCAATCGCATTTTCAAAAGGCATTTTTCTTGCATTGTTTCACGTTTTTTCACAAAAATGTGAAAAGATGTGAAAAAAAAACATTTGAAAATCCAGTTGGAAAGGTGGAACTCTGATTTTTTTCCTTCAGGTTTGATTTTTGGGGGCCCAGTTTTGCTGCAATTACTTTGCTGCCGGCCCAACTTCTGCAGGTTGAAAATCGGAGAGGAGCAGTTCAAATCGATCGGAAGTGGACTGTGCAGATTGCAGCTCTGTTTTTTATATCTATAGCAAAGCAATGACTACCAGGAGCAAAAACAGAAAATCAAATGCAGAAGGAAAAGAGAACATAGCTTCAAATTTGCTGTTAAAAATACATTTTTTCACGTTGTTTTTACATGTTTAAAATACATTTTTTCACATTTCAAAATAATGCATTTTTAAAACACATTTTTCACATGTTTTTCGCATTTCTAATTCAAACTACTACAACCCTTCTGTAGCTCAGTTGGCTATGATAAGTGTAATCTAGCGCCGAAAGCTTTGCATGAAACAATAGTGTGGCAACCACTTTCCTTGCAAGTTTTTGCAATCCACGTTCCTGCAAACAAGCCGAAAGGCAACGCAGGCAATGCCCTTGATCTTCATATATAATGCCGATGTAAACTGAACAAACAGTTATGAATACATGGGTTTCTTCTACGGAGGGATCCCAAAATCATCCGAACCTAATATAATTTAGATCAATTTAATGCGTTCATTCTATGTATATAATTACTTTCTTCGCTGCAAAGTTCTTTGCCATTTTGCTAGCCATTAGCACTATTTCAGACCTATGGGGCCCCTTGACCGAAAATGTCAAGCAGGAAGGGCTCTCACTTGGTACCCGACTTCTGCCCCAATACATCTGAGGACCTCACTTCACACTGGATTCCTCTACCACGCAACCAGCACCAACGCGCAAGAGTTGGCATGACGCCCTTGCCGACAGCTGAAGCCGGGCACCATGCCCGATGCGAGCGCCGAGAGCGGTCAACAGAGCATTGTGGACCGGAGTTCCTTTGAATTTTGACTTGTCAGGCCGGTGACCAGCTTCAGAGCGTGCGTCACGCATAAACCGCACAAATGAATGTGAATCCAATTTCCATGATTCTCCCATGCCTGAATGAACACATCAAATAACTTCAGAACCTGACATACCTGCAAGATACTTGTATTCAAAACCAACTCTTCTCTGAGCAGCCCCGAAATTCTCAAAATGCCTTCACTTCTAAAAACCGCGCATGCATCCCCGTCCTCGATACACCATGCCGAATCGATGCAGAAAGGTGAGGGCAACATCCAACTGCCACAGGCGTAAGTGCACGGAACTGTTCACCTGCTTGGAACCACTGGAGAAGGTCCGAAGCCCATTTGGGCAACTCCCAGCAAATTAGCGAAAGGGAAGCAGGATCCCGTTTGTTCGGGGTTTTGTTCGTGATGATTGCTGATGACTGCTGGTTATGACAACCTGTGAGAACGTTGGAGGGTCGAAACATAATTCTTAGGTTTGCATAGTCTGACACATTGTGTTTTCAATACGATCTTCATTGGAACCAAACATGCCTTGGGAGACTCTGCTTCGTGTTTTTTTCTCAAATAAGAAAATGCAAATATAGGGGCACTTCCCGCCACCTGTGGACAGTTGTTCCCTCCCACCTTGTGGCGCCCCTGCGAAAGACCTCTGGGGAACAAGGCCAAGCGAAGAATCCAAACCTCAGCGTGCGCAAAATGTAGCGCACTGCGGCCGGACTCTTCACGTCACAGTTTCAGCTGAGAAACCTGGAAAAGAAGTGAAGCCCAAATGCCACCCACGAGTAGCGGAGCTGCGGCCACAACAAGGCGGTGGCCACCCTTTTGGTGCATCAAATCGAGCATGGTGGAGACGAGGAAGAAAGGCGTCACAAGAATCAGGAGAGGCATCAGAAGCCCAAATGTTTTCCACGTCCACACAATCCAAGGGGCCACCTGTGACAACAAAATGTCATCGTCGTACGAGTATCCCAAGTCTAAATATGTTCGAACATGTTGTAGCAACAACAAATCACAACTCTTGCTTCGCCAAGCCGCCTATACAATACCATCAGATACCTACCAGTAGTACCGCACAACGCAGTGGTGGAAGCTTCAAAGATAGGAAACCTATAGGATAGGTTTGTCGTTGTGATGCATGGGTGTCAGAGCAAACCCACAGGCGGTTGAGGAGTCTCTTTTTCCATCTCTCTATGTCTCCGTCTCTCTGTGTCTCTCTTTATCTCTATCTCTATCTCTATCTCTCTCTCTCTCTCTATGTCTCCGTCTCTCTGCGTCTCTCTCTCTCTCTCTATCTTTATCTCAATCTCAATCTCTCTCTCTCTGTGGCTCAAGACTTGCTAGCATAGCTGCACAAAAAGGTGCTGCGCTCCGACTGTGTGACCACAAGCGTTCGTAACTACGAGCTTAGATCAAGGGCCCCTAAATACCGAGGAACGCTACCTCAATTCGGACAGCAGTTGCTTCTTGCACCTGCCCGATATACGGACTAGCAGGGCAGCTCGTGGCACAACTCCGAGTAGTTGCCGTGGTCTTAATCCACAGCATGGATTCAGACGAAAAACTCCAAGTTCAAACGTTAATACGACTGATTCCAGCACTGGTATCGAAATGACTCCACAATAGGGGCCTGTTGGTGGGGGATCTCTCGGGGGTCACCCCCCACCTCCGTGCAATTGCCGGTTGGCTGCCACGCTTCAATTTTCCAATTCCGCAATTTCGGGCTCCTATTTCTTCATGGAAATTTCTCCATGAGGAACCTATTTGGTCACCCGCGCATCTTCAGGCCTTGGCGGTAATCCCGAAATTCTTAATCCAATCGGCAGCTGATCGAAAAACGGTCCGCCCTTCTTGATCGATAGATATATCTGTCAATATCTATTTGTATCATGCTGCATCGAACCTAATCTATCTATATCTATCTAAACTAATCAAGGCTGCTCTGCTCTAATATAATTTAAGCGTATCTAATCTATCTAGCTGTCTGCGTGTGTGGACTATATCGTATGAAACCTACCTTTCATCAGAATGGATTAAAAAAGGATCAGTAGCATTTACCAGAAATCTGAATGAGCATTAAAATTCTGGTATGTCACAACCTTGAAATCACAATATACAATGTGCACATCATTGGAGATTTAAGCACAAATCCTTTGTGGGAACTATATGTGGAAAGAAAATTAAACAACGGATTTGTCAAAATTTGCCAGCCACCTGCTAAAGCTGCTAGAAATTATCCTCTGTCTAGTGAAGCATGCAAAACAATGCGAAGTTGGCAGGTTTACACCGGTGTTGTGTCAGATTCAGCTATCGGGATGGTGATAATCCAACATATCCAACTATTCAAATGATTAACTAAGGCTCGGCAGCATTCAGCAGCAGTGGATATATACACTCTGCTACATCTTGTATGAATCCGCAGTCCTTCGGGACACAGCTTTTAAAATCTGATGAACCTTACATGATGAACCCAAACTGAGAAACCCGAAATGACAATGACACACAAGCAATATAATCACATTCAGACAAAACAAAACACTCATAGCCTGCTGTGGCTACACCTACCGTCACCCACAACTCCGGGCGATGGCTCCAGCCCTGGCATGTGACCATGTCTGGAAGCATCATCTTTCGCTTGCAACCTGGCTGGGACGGGCCAGCCCGGACTCCATCATGAAACAACCCGCAACATCCTCCAATATGAGCTGGCATCAGCTATCAAAGGGTGGTGGACCTCGTCCGCGAGCAGTAGCGTTTTCTCCAACAGGGGAGTCGCTAACGCCTGATTCTTGTGCGTCAACCTTTGCAAGGTAACGACCAGGACGCACACAGCATCACAGGCATCACACTGCTCGGGAAAGTCGGGCTGAGAGGGGGTCTGATTTTTCCCCTTTCCTGCGTCTGATTTTTCCCCTTTCCTGCGGACCACGGGTCACGGGCCATTCTGACATATGGAGCCGAGGATCGACTTGCCAGCAAGTTCTTTGCCATTTCATCCCATGGCTCCAACATGCTCCACCATGCTCATCCGATTGACTGCAGAGACGGCCTAATTATCCATAATTATCCCCATTTATCTTCTATTGAAATTAAAATGGCTCACAGTTGGTTGCTGGATGCTGGCACTCCCACCGCCTGAAGGCCAGCCACCATGCCCCAAGCATCCCACAAGCGGCAGGCGGCCAGCAGCTCGGCAGCACTCGGCACAGCACATCCTGCTTCTGTCTCAATATGTCTCAACATGTCTACTAAACTTGTTCCTCTTATCCCTGGGAGCCCGGGTTTTTGTCTTATGTTGTCGTTCCCTCTGTCTTCATTGCCTTATGTTGTCGTGTCATTTGTCCATCTTGCATGCCTATTTGTGATAGTTTTCGTCGCAGCCCTCTTTAATGCGCATACACATGTTAATTTTCTTCGGCCCCTTTTCATTGGAAAAAGTGATTTCAACATGGTTTCCAAGCCCAGATTCAAAGACGTGCTTTTGTAATGGCCCCACCAGATTAAAATCACTTATGGATACCTATGGAGATTTAACGCGCTGTGTGTGTGTGTGAGTGTGTGGGGGCGACCCCTGTACCAGAGGGCTATAATCAGATTTACTCTGGTGTCCAAGTTTTAACTATTCACTAGTAGGGGGCAACAAAGTCGCTGCATCTGTCGCCAACGAAGCTCCATACAGTAGACTAGGATATGGAGTCTGATCAACTCCACGTATCTGCAGTTTTTCGTCATTTCATTCTGTTCCGTGAACGACTGTTTTTATTTGGTGTGTACAGAACAGAATCCGTTTCAGCAGCTTCTTCGGACACAGTTCATCACAGCAGTCTCAATTTTCTTTTTTTGCTGAAAAAGGTCTAAACCTAAAACTGGAATCTCCAGATCCCTTGATGGGAAACAAAGTGACTCATAGACGACAAAGAGTCTGTCAAGCGGACCCCTCATGAGTTTCCCAGATAGCAAGTTGGCTCAGGGAAGGCCTCGATCAAATTGGGATCTTTGGGGATATGTCAATCTCTATATATATATATATGTATGTATATGCATTTATTTATTTATTCATTTATTAGTTCTTTATTTATTTATTTTTATATTTATATTTACATTTATATTTATATTTATGTTTATACTTATATATATATATATGATATTTCGTGATTGCATAATATTGCATATGTATATCCTAGCTGAGCTTGAAAGAACCTAAGCCAACCGCAGGAACCCGAGACATCCGGAGACCATCCGAGTCCGATTTCAAATGATTTCAAGGAAACCCTATTATAGACTCTAGACCAAATGTATACGATCCTTAAACTAACTTTCATGCATACGATCCTTAAACTAACTTTCAAGTCATCCGAAACATTCTGAAACTAATCCCAGATAATCCCAGACAAACTTTCAACCAACCCCAAATAATCTCCGAAATTCTCTGAACCACACCTGAATAGAATATATAAACATTCAAGAATATCTGAGCAGCCCTGAGATAATCCTAAGCCCTGCGAAACATCAATCCAACAATGAAAATCAATCAGTAAGGTGATGGAAAGTGAATTATTTCAAGCAATTCTTTGAGGTATCGCCTCCAGATGCTTCCAGAATTTTCAAGGTGTAAGGGGTGGGTATATAGAAACGACCAAGAGAAACCATCAAAACATAGCATAGGGTGTGCGCGCGTGCAAATGCAAGAGAACGTACAATAGCGCAGCGTCATCCACATGCGTAAGATTGCGCAAGCACAAGCGAACGTTCAATGCCATAGCGTCACGTATGTGTACAAGCGCAAGAGAGCGTAAATACAATAGCATCATAGCATGACGTGTGTGTGTGTGTGCAACCACACGAAAAAAATCAAATAGCGTAGCTGATGTATGCGTGCAGGTCGTGCAGGCGCCAGGAACTTACAATAGCGTAGCCTGACATGCGTGTGCAAGTGCAGACAACTTTCATGAACTTACTCTGGCGCAGTAATGCGCAATATGATGTACGTGTGCAAGTGGAAGAGAACGTTATTAGCGCATATTAGCGCTCCCCACCCCACCCCATCCCACCCCACCCCACTCCGTATGTGTGCAAGTGCAAGAGAATATGAGAAAGGGATCCTATGTGTACAACTGCGAGATAACGTTATCCACCCCACCCCTCCCATGAAATCCATGTACCATGACATACCATGACAGCTAAAATCGTGAACCAGGCCTCCGCATGCCACCCAAAATCACAAAAGTCTTTAAACAAAATTCGGCGCCACACCGTGGCTCAAGACTTGCTAGCATAGCTGCATAAAAAGGTGCTGTCCGACTGTGTGACTGTGTGACCACAAGTGTTCCTAGCTACTAGCTTAGATCCAGGACCCCTAAAACCCGGGGAACGCTACCTCACCCTCTCCCTCTTCCTCCCCCTCTCCCTCCGTCTCCCTCTCCCCTCTTGCGCCTGGCACGAAAAATGACACTCGTACGTCCAAAAGTAGTCCGACATGTGGTGCTTTAAGCATTTTCACTTTGAAATGTGCTTCGCGCAACAACCGCGTGCACTTTTTCGCCATCTCAACTTCCGGAACTGGTCTGTGATGCTTTGCCATTTTCCCTGCGAAACGCGCTTCGCACCACAGCTGCATGCACTTTTTGAACAGCTCAACTTCCAACTTTGCACGTTTTGACTTCGAAATGTGCTTCGAGCCACAACGGCATGCACTTTTTCGACAGCTCAACTTCTAAAAGCGGTCCGCAGCTGAGGTGCTTTGCACCTTTCGACTTCAAAATGTGCATCTCCAAAAGTGCTCTGAGCATCAGGGTGCTTTTGGCATTTTGGATTCGAAACGCGCTTCGCGCCACAGCCACGTGCAAACTTTGATCTCTCATCCAACCAGATAGCTCCGCACCCGCCGCTTGAGCGAGCCCCACAAGACATTGGAAAAAACACAGTGTTTCACGACTTTTCTACCTTTTCGCACACTTTGATCTTCCTTCTTCTTCTTCTTCTTCTTTCTCTTCTCTGATCTTCCTTCTAAGTTACTGACTCTCTCTTCTCTGGCTGTTCTTACAACTGTTGCATCTGGCCATACGTTGGAAGTTTGACTTCTAAACTTCCTTCGGCTAATTTTCCTACAGGAAAAGCGCAATGAGACATGCTGAAAAACTGCACTTGCCACATGATGTCACACACTTCTGGACAGCATTGGACGGCGAATCCCTTTGTTTCAGTTTCACTTCTCATTGACTTCCCACGACCTGCTTGGCGCCCTTCACCGGCATCTTTTCAATGACTTCTCGCCGACCCGACTGTCCGCCCTCTTCAACTACCGCACTTCGTGGAGGGAATTTGGCCTCTTCGACAGCAAGGGCCAAAGCACGGAGGTTGGCCCCAAAAAGGGAGGAAATTGGAAAAGCTGTTTCCACGGAGATGCGCAAGTAGGTGTCCTGAGAGAAGACAGTTGGAAAACAGAGACATGATGGGCTACAATGGTTCCAAGACAGGAACATTACAACGTACAAACGAGAAGCGGACGGCAAAAACGTGGAAAAACATGGGAAAAAACATATGTTTCATGATGTTTAGATCACGGAAGGAGACCCCGTTCCAATGCGTGCGTCGTCAAAAGGGGGCATCACAAAGCCCCAAACTCCGGCTTCCGGCTCCGACCGGCGGCTCCTCACTCCACTTGGCGAGGTCCTGGCTGGGTCCTGGGCACCGCCGGTAAAGTTCCGAAAAGTCTTGGCCGGATGTCTGCAGTGCAGCCAATAGCCTTCCAGCTGGCGAGGGCAAGGCTGGAAAAAAAAGAATCACATTGGATGAATTCTGACATGTTGAAGCTGTTATGAGCAGATTGGTGTAGCAAATTATGAGCGTTCTTTGCAGGTTTGATGGGACGAAGACGTGGGTGCATCAAGTGCGCCTGTTCACAAACCCACCCCTGAGCCTCTAAGCAATGATCGTATACGTGTTGGTTTACAAAAATACAACAAAACCGCCCAAATACAAAACAGAGCGCAAAGTGTTTGAAGGCTTCTGTCGCCTCGCGTGAAGCTGCGCCAAGGACACTGAGCTCAAAGAAAGGTCTGCGAGTTTGCTTTCGGGCGTTGCACCTTCCAGCTCCGCTAGAAGCCACTCTTCAATCAGCCTGAAGGCGAGGCAACTGTGTGAGTCATCCACTCCACGAACGTTGCTCTCAAACCTCGTGTCCAGCAAATTCCTAAAGTCAAGAGCGCTTCTAAGACAGCACTTGGACATTAGATTTTAGATAAGAAAGTTCAAGAGAATTCTTCCACCTAGAATTGACACCGGCTCATGGGGTTTCATTGCAGAGAAAGACAATGAAAGACACGCTACACAAAATTACACAAACTCATACCGTCATACATACCGTTTTCCGGGCACCTGGCTCGGCCGGAGCGATCAAACACCCTGCTCCAATCGATTTTGTTCAAAGAATTCAAAGACCGTCCCCAAAGGTGGCATTCGACCACGGCGGAGCCAAAGGAGCTGGCCCAGAGCTGTGCCACCTGGCCAATTCTCTCAATAAACTTCCACCAAAGTGTTGCACCATGTTACACCCAAAGGGTCCAAACAGATCCAAAATATTCTCAAAGATCTAAGAGGTGTCCAAGGCTCTCATTGGAACAGCATGTTTCTACAGGTCGACATATGGGTTTGCATGGAGGTCTTTACCACCTGAAGTGTCGTTTTGTTGAGTAATATATATATATATATAATTACATATGCATAAATATAACACGCTCCTTTCAACTTGACGTGGTCCCTACATGCGGTGGGCATTGGTCAGTAGATCTTGCATCTGTCCTACTCTTGGTGGAAGTTTGGGTGTGGTATGGCGGACGCTCCTCATCCACACTTAGAAGAAATGCCATAGTCCACTTAGTTCACTGGTCATCACTGGTCATCACTGGTCATCACTGGTCACCACTGGTCCCAGGGCGCTCACAAGCGCTTGCGATTCCCACATCCAATGGCATGGCATGGCATGAGCCCGTCCGATGAATCCCATGAAGAGATGGCGCACAGCGTTTCTCAAACCCTCGAGCTGAATATGGTCAAAAATCAAAAACTACTATTTCATACATTTTTCATACTATTTCTATATCTGTACGACTTCAAGTGCTTGCAACTCATGTTCAGCATCTGTGACAGCAATCCCTCCGTAGACTTCTTGCATATTATGATTCCATGTGGGCGTTACAATCAAACACTCCCAGCGTGAACCCTCACTAGGTTTGGCGATTATGGTCGAGGCAGTAGCTCGAATATGCTCGCATATGTTTGCAAGACTCCTCCGTCAGTTTCGAACATCATCGCTCTGAACCCCATCCTTTTCATGGTACAATTTTGAGGATCACATCTGTCCTTTGTGCCCTGAACAAAAACATGAAAAAAGAAGCAAAAAAAATAGGGAAACAAACAAAGAACAAGAAAACAATGATTCTCGTTACCACACGCCTGCCGGTGCTGAAGCTTTCCACTGGTGGTCTTTGGAAGGCTTCGGGGCCTCAACAGCACCAGCCCCCAAACGGCCAAGCCATGCTCCTTCTCCACGTAGCAGCGCAGCGAGGAAGCCAAGCTCTCAGGGTAAACGTGGGGGTCACGGAGCTCCACAGCCAGAAGCAGCTGCTCCTGGGCCACGGCCATGGAATGCATGATATCCATCACATCTGTCACCGCGTTTCTTTGCATGTCAATGATGTGGGTTTTGCATCAATTTCACAATGAAGTATTGGACTGCAGCTGGGATGCGAAGGGGAAAAAGAGTCCTAGGATGTCTTAGTCGACACTAATTTTACCCACAAACGCCGTGTGTTGCCCAGACATTATGATAGGAGAGATTGCAGAAAATACTGCGTATACGCCGTATTTTCTAGTTTAGGCTTCAAAGTTTTCAGGGCTTAGGTTTTAGGGTTTAGGGCTTAGGGTTTGAGGTTTTAGGGTTTAGAGTTCGTCGTCTGGGAAATCTCAAAACACTGGCCCTGCGCAGGTGTTTGAGCATGTTGAAGGATAGTGTTTAAACAGCATTTGAACCTTCTGGGCAACACACAGCGCCTGGCCGTAATGTTACTTTCGTGCATATGTTGCCTGGAAATACCAGGTCCCTGCATGCCTTAGGACAAGTGTGAAGAAAAATCAAACGGAATATCAACATGTCAGCTACGACCGTGTCTGCCGTTCATTCTCTCCTCTTCAGTCACCGCAGAATTGCTGCAGGCCACAACGTGGCCTGGACGCACATGCTCGCTAGCCTCTTGCACTGTCTGCTCGATATCCTGCGGGTAGAAATTTTTGCCTCCGACAATGATGACGTTCTTGATCCGGCCACATACGTACAACCTTCCAAGGGATTAGGAATGGTATCTTTGCCAGACGCTCTGGAAGCCAGAGATGTCTTGATGCAAATCCACCGGAATGTGTTTTTCTGTCTGCAGCAAGGCAGAGCTGTCGCCATTTTTTTCAGCATATCAATTTGAGAGTTTGGGCGATTGGGCATGCTGTCGCTTCCATCTATAAAATCACTCTCCCCTCTTTGGAACATCGGATCGGCTTGCACTCTGGAAACAAATGAATGCTTTTCTTCATGAATTGACCGACTAACAGTCGAAAAAGGTTGCAAAATCCACGCTTGTGCGATCTTGCCACCCATCTGCTTGAAGAAACAGTTCCAGTTCCAAAGTGGTTCGACTAAAGTAGAAAACTATCCATCATATTCCATCACAACAGGTTGAAGTCATCAAAACACAGGGAGGTCATTCCCGAACCCTCGCGCCTGCCACCACGCACAACGCCCATATCTCCTGTTCTTAGAAAAGTCCTTTGCTCCTCCTTTTGGTGCAGCCGGGCATGAAATATCTCTTCAGTGAGCTCCGGTTTGCCCCAATAACCGCAGCCTTTACCTCAGATGGCGAAATGGGATAACTTGTTGCCCATAGATAACCTGAGATGCTGGAGATAACTTGAGAGATGTCTCACAAGATCTCACACAAGATGCCCAGAGATACCAATCATAAAGGACGTGTCATTGCATTAACCATCATCTGTTTCTGCCACAACCAAAGTTTCAGAATAGGCAACTTAGAAGCTTGGCGAATCCAACCATATCTCACCTTCTTGTCCTGAGTGTTGAAGCTCAAATGGGACACTCTGCGCCGACATATACGCACAAATCCATTGTGTCTATCGTTGACAAGTGGGTGCTCTTGGCTACATGTTGATTAGAAAAGCATATTGGCAACACTGCAGCAACTCCAGGGAAAAAAACTAATGATGCTAATTGTTAGCCGGTGTCAAGTCAGCTTTCTTGGAATTTCTTAAGGACATGAAAATCATGGAAATCGCATAGAAATCGCATGGAAATCTCCTTCAGGAACTTCTGTCTTGGTCACGGGGTCCACGATCTTCAAGCAAATCCCTTCCCCGGAAGTGCCACACTCGGCCGCCCTGGTGGAAGCGAACTCCTCCGCCACGTGTTCCGGGCCTCCGCAGGCGACTTTCACCACATGCTCCGCCAAACCTTAGGTGAAAAGATCAGAGACCAGGTCGATAGGTCAAGACTGGGAAAATGCCATTGCGAGTCTTTGAAACTGGGTGGCAAAGCTATGCAAAGCTTATTTCAACAAGTCACTTGGCAGTATTTTATCGATCTTCCAGTGCTTGCAAAGCCCTTTCTTAGCTCTTCGGATTACGCAATAATAGTCTTCTTCTTACAGCAGGTGGACATCCACAAACAAATCATGCAACAAATCCCTAGGCTAGGCTCTAGACTCTAGACTCTAGACATTATCAAGGACAACACTTCTTGCACTCCAACCTTTTTTCAACTTGGGGAACTGTGGTATTGCACGTGGCACCTTGGATATTTTGTATCTTTGCCATTCTTTAACATTGAAGACTGTGCGATGTAACATCAGCGGATTGGACCTCGACAATGACCCGGTTTCGAAAAAAGACGCAAGCGGTCCAAATCCAACTGGTGTGAGTCATGTACAGCAAGTCTGCTATTGAAAATTGAAAGTTTTTGAAACCCAATGTTCCAACATATTCCAAGGCGCCATAGGCAGCAGAGTAGACCCCCTCGCGTAGACCAAAGCGCTTCCAAGTACGCAACATTTCCAGCCGGGTGCGCACATTGATTGGTTCTGCGCCATCAAGAGCAACCCTGGAAGTTGCGGACGCAATGGGAATCTGAACCCGAGATAATATAAAACCCCTGGTCTGGATTGATTACTCAATTACTCGAAAAGACGGTGTAAAGACGTGAAGAGCATCAACAGCCGAAGAAAATGATAAGTGGATAGTCCAGGAACGTCAGGCTTGAGAGATCCAGGTCCAACAGTTCAGGGCCAGCAAGTTCCATTCTTCGAGCCGTCAGCTGGTAGCCAAAGTGGGGTGCTATCGTGTGAGTGGCGCGGTACCGCGTGATCAGCTTCGGCCACAACAAGGGATCTTGGATGAAATCCATCGGAGAAATGCCCACGGTCTGGCAATTCCAGACCTCGGGTTACCAGGGTTACCGAGCCAGCAGAGCGCGCGCAAAGTCAAGCAATGTCAAGCAAAAACACTCAGAAAAAGATGACGCAGAGATAAAAAGGCTACGGTCGAGTATGGCCGAAAAAATGACTGCCCAAGAAAAGAACTGGGCCATATTCCTTTTGTATAGCACACAGTTCTAGACAACAAATCTGCACTGCTCAGCTAGGGCACCACAGAAGTGAGGTACCCGCAGACCAGCCCCATGTCATGATACTGTGGGAGCCAGATGAGCACAACATCGTTGGGTCCATAAATCTGCGCTTCATCTCGCTGCACGCTCCGGCAATTTCCCGGAGACTCCGGCGGAATCAGACAGTTGGTCAACAAATTCCTAGCTCAACGCTCAGCACAACGAAGAACTCTTGCAGCACCCAAATATTCTGAATTCTTTCAAAAGCAATCCAAACACAAATGAACAAGAATGAAATAGCGAGAGATGAGAGAAGATGGGCTGCGTTCTTGACGTTTGAAGAGATGAGTGAATGCGAACAAAGACTCAGTGGGTGATTCAGCGATTGACATTGACTGAGAGCGAGTGACAATTAGAAAGCTAAACAGGGAGACAATGTGGGGAGTCAGAGCGAGTTGACTGATGTAGAGCGAGTGAAATGGTCAAAGTGAGTTGATGAGTAGAGTCAGCAATCGAGGAGGTCAGTGGAATGAGTGGAATGAGTCAGTGGGACCAGTCGCAGGCGCTTGACGACAGAGGAGAAATGTCAAACTGCGGAACTTGGGTGTCTTGGGTGTACAGTGCGCGGCGTCAGACCTCCGTAATTTCACAGGACCGTTTTCTGTCCAGGTGTGTCTCTCTCCAAGTGAAGTGGTACACCGATACACTGATGCATGATCCCTCAGGGTTCAGCCCAAAAAACCTTGGACAACATGACAAACCACCGGTGAAAAGGAACACTTGCCGAGATTCTCGTGAGAGACCATGACCCCCTTGGGAGCTCCCGTGGATCCAGAGGTATACTGCAAGAAGGCCAGGTTGTGAGGCAAAATGGTGGGCATCGTCACATCTTCATGGACCTTCCTTACAACAGCTCCCCGATCAGAAGAGCGACAAGCAAAAGAACCCAGCCTTCCATCAGAATAGCTATCAGTATCAACATCACATTGTACTGTTTGCAAAAGTTATCCTCAACCATTCACCATTTTTGTATGTTTTTGAGGGTGCACACCTGTTTTTGGCAATTCTTTCTGCATCGTTATATAATTTGTTCCATTCCTGTTTCAAGTTGCACGGCAGCTTATTTTCTGGATTGTTTGCAGGACATTTGCAAGTACAACGTAGCCCTCTGCAATTCTACATCATTTTACTGCAAATAGCACGTATGCGATTTGAATTTCCAAGGTGGAAAATGCTGCAAGTGGTTCATGACTTGATTTTTCCCGGAAGCATGGTGAAATGTTAACTTCTCATTTGGCCTATGTGGGCCTCGGCCCCATTGTCTTTTGCACAGCGAAGAAACCCAAAAAGGACAAAACGGGCACACAAAGCGACAAGCGGGAAAAGGAAGACTCAAAAGCAAGCTAACAAGCCGAGAAGAAGCCAAAAAATAGGCCAACAAAAAAAAACAAGAAAAACAGAAAAAGAAACGTACAAAAACATAACGCTAAAAAATAGATAAATCCCAAAACCGTACAGAACGCAGAAAAACACGGAAGCAGCCAAGAAGAAATCAGGAAAAAACAATTGGTACCAAAAAAAACTTCATAAATTCCTGCGCTGTCTTCATTGATTTGTGCACCGAAGATTCAAGTTGCTCGTCACCTTCCAAGAGATTTCAGGCCAATCAGCATTGATAAAAGCAGCGGTCGACCACCAATATTTGGAGCTGGTCAAGGCAACCTCCCGTAGAAAGAGGAGCAAGATGGAGCAAGCAAAAAGATTCCACGCAAGATCTGAAACTGTCATGTTCACACTTTATCACACTTTCACCCTCAAGCGTCTTCCAACGCACATGTGACTCGAATTGACTCGGAAGGCAGGAATGGTGATGGGAAATCGGAAATATGCATTTTAATGCACAAAACAGTTGCTCAGTTACTCCTATTAAACATCAGAAAGTTTGGCCTTCGCACCGCAATCTGCTTGGATGGCTGTAAACTTTTGAACGCTGGACGCTTGAGTGGGTACCGGTGGATAGACAGGCACTGCTGTCCGGCAAGACAGTAGGCTACCAATGAAGGCGTCCAGGAAATCCAGACCAGGCTCGTAGACCAAGAGAATACGGTCTCCACAAGAGCTGATCTCCAACAACCTGGGAAGCCGCCGAAGGCTGAAAAATGAAACAGTACATAGATATACACAAGTTACATAGTAATATTGACATGCTATTGACATTTCATGAAACAATGAAACCATAGTTTTTACAAAATCCTCAAGTCAAAACAGAACTAAATGCCAAAGGATAAGAACATCTGCGCCACTTGCGAACTTCGAGCCTTCAAACTCGAGCATGAACGCGTATCGGACTCTTCCCCACTGGCATCGCAAAATCTGAACGTTGTTTTCTCGGACGTTTTCAAGGCCCAATATGTAACCTGATAGTGCCAAAATGTTTAACAAATCCGTTGCCGGCACTGGTTGAATTTTTACAAAAGGCACCACGAATTACATGAAGGACTTTGTTGGCAGGGTAGTTGAACTTCAAACTCAAACCAGGGGGTGGGTCCCAGCCACGTAATCGTTGAAGGTCTTGCAGTCAGATGATTCTAAGTGGGGTCGCAGCTTGTCGACCAAGGCAGCTCCAGCTGCGGTTTCTGTTCCAGTTCGTGGGACAAAGCAGCAAAATAGAATCATACTCCCAACCAGAATGGTTGCTAAGAAAAATTGCACCATCCAGCGGTTCAGATTCGGCTCTTGGAATTGCAACCTACCAACTCCGGCAACTCTATCACCTCCCATCTGCAAAAGAAGCAAACCCTGCCCATTGCAACTTTCATCTTCTTCGGTCCATGATCTGGCCACTGCGTTGAGAATTCCATGGGCAACACAAAGGCCGCAAAGCCATGGCGTCGAAACCATGGTATTGTAGGTGCAAGATTTGGAAATGTAACCGCAGCAAACCCCTCAAAATCAATTTCCTCACCAAGCCGCTGCTTGCGTGCCCATGCTTCAGGAAAGGCATATCCACCTTACGTTTCCTAGTACGAACCACAAGCTGGTAGGATTCCACCCCGTGGCTTGCATTAGGATTACGCATTGTGTTTGGGCTCATCAACTCCCCAACAGGCATCTGCATGTGTCCATTTGTGCATCGGTTTTTTGAACTAATTATCCACAATGTCTACCTTGAGTCTCCAAAGATGGCAGAGGAGATGGAAAGCGAGGGCAACAGATACTGCAATGCGACGTGGGGCACAAGGTGGCCAAACAAAAATGCATGTAAACAAAGGTTTCTTCATACAGCCTACCAGTAGCGCCTACACGAGGCAGGGCGGAAGTTGTCTTAGGGTTATACTATAAGACCTTTTTCATCTATAGAACTTGCATGCACCGTGCGCCAACCAGGCCCGTGCGTGCGTGCTTTGTGCGACAGTGATGTACTGTTCCAAAGGTCGCACTTGAAGTTCCACACTTCACACTGCACTCTTCACACTGCACACTTCACACTTCACACTTCGCACTTACACTTCACAGTCCACACTTCATCTCATCTCATCTTATCTGAGCTCTTCTCACCTCATTTCAGCTCTTTTCATCTCATCTCATCTTTTCTCATGTCTGATCTAGGTTCTTCTCAACTATTTTCATTTCATCTCAGCTCTGTGCACCGCTTAACCTTTCAAAATTTCTCATCTCTCGAAGCTCTTCTCAACTCATCTCAGCTCTTCTGCACGTCAGAAAGCTTCTCGAGTCAGAGAGAAGTCTCTTGTGCACAAAAACCGTTGCGCACAGAAAGCTTTTGCACAAAAAAGTTTTTGCAGTGCAGGGGCAAAGGGGGCCGAAGCGTGGGTTTCCGACGTTGCGCTGTGACGCTCCCGGGGGCGGGTGGCGCTGCGACGCTGCGACGCTGCGACGCTCCGGGGGGCGGGTGGCGCTGCGACGCTGCGACGCTGCGACGCTGCGACGCTGCCGTTGGGCCAGTGACGCTGCGACGCTGTTGGCGCTGCGACGCTGCGACGCTGGAGTGACGCTGCGACGCTGTTGGCGCTGCGACGCTGCGACGCTGCGACGCTGCGACGCGGGAGCGACGCTGCGACGCTGTTGGCGCTGCGACGCTTCCTTCTGCAAGAGTGCACACGGCGTTGCGTCGCTGCGCGACACGGAAACCCCCATTGAAGATCGTCAATGAATGTAGAAGTTTATATATAACGGGGCTGAAAGAATTAAACCCTTATTGAAGATCGTCCATGAATGTAGAAGTTTAACGGGGCTGGGGAGAATTAAACCCTCATTGAAGATCGTCAGTGAATGTAGAAGTTTAACGGGGCTGGGGATAATTAAACCCTCATTGAAGATCGTCCATGAATGTAGAAGTTTAACGGGGCTGGGAGAATTAAACCCTCGTTGAAGATCGTCAGTGAATGTAGAAGTTTAACGGGGGTGGGGAGAATTAAACCCTCATTGAAGATCGTCAATGAATGTAGAAGTCTAACGGGGCTGGGGAGAATTAAAACCTCATTGAAGATCGTCAATGAATGTAGAAGTTTAACGGGGGTGGGGAGAATTAAACTCTCATTGAAGATCGTCAATGAATGTAGAAGTTTAACGGGGCTCGGGAGAATTAAACCCTCATTGAAGATCGTCCATGAATGTAGAAGTTTAACGGGGCTGGGAGAATTAAACCCTCATTGAAGATCGTCAATGAATGTAGAAGTTTAACGGGGCTGGGAGAATTAAACTCTCATTGAAGATCTTCGATGAATGTAGAAGTTTAACGGGGCTGGGAGAATTAAACTCTCATTGAAGATCGTCAATGAATGTAGAAGTTTAACGGGGCTGGGAGAATTAAACCCTCATTGAAGATCTTCAATGAATGTAGAAGTTTGAAGGGGCTGGGAAGAATTAAACCCTCATTTAAGATCGGCCATGAATGTAGAAGTTTAACGGGGCTGGGAGAATTAAACCCTCATTTAAGATCGTCCATGAATGTAGAAGTTTAACGGGGCTGAGGAGAATAAAACCCTTATTGAAGATCGTCCATGAATGTAGAAGTTAAACGGGGGTGGGGAGAATTAAACCTTCATTGAAGATCGTCCATGAATGTAAAGTTTAACGGGGGTGGGGAGAATTAAACCCTCATTGAAGATCGTCCATGAATGCAGAAGTTAAACGGGGGTGGGAGAATTAAACCCTCGTTGAAGATCGTCAGTGAATGTAGAAGTTTAACGGGGGTGGGGAGAATTAAAACCTCATTGAAGATCGTCAATGAATGTAGAAGTCTAACGGGGCTGGGGAGAATTAAAACCTGATTGAAGATCGTCCATGAATGTAGAAGTTTAACGGGGGTGGGGAGAATTAAACTCTCATTGAAGATCGTCAATGAATGTAGAAGTTTAACGGGGCTCGGGAGAATTAAACCCTCATTGAAGATCGTCCATGAATGTAGAAGTTTAACGGGGCTGGGAGAATTAAACCCTCATTGAAGATCGTCAATGAATGTAGAAGTTTAACGGGGCTGGGGAGAATTAAACCCTCATTCAAGATCATTGAAGATCGTCCATGAATGTAGAAGTTTAACGGGGCTGGGAGAATTAAACCCTCATTGAAGATCTTCAATGAATGTAGAAGTTTAACGGGGCTGGGGAGAATTAAAACCTCCTTGAAGATCGTCAATGAATGTAGAAGTCTAACGGGGCTGAGGAGAATTAAAACCTCATTGAAGATCGTCCATGAATGTAGAAGTTTAACGGGGCTGGGAGAATTAAACCCTCATTGAAGATCGTCAATGAAGGTAGAAGTTTAACGAGGCTGGGAGAATTAAACCCTCATTGAAGATCGTCAATGAAGGTAGAAGTTTAACGAGGCTGGGAGAATTAAACCCTCATTGAAGATCGTCAATGAATGTAGAAGTTTAACGGGGCTGGGAGAATTAAAACCATCCTCTCAACTACTATCCCCAGATCCTAGGAAACTTCATTGTAGACCCTGGATCTAGGGTCTGAAGTGGGGTCTGGGATGATAATCCCTAGGTGATTCCAGAAATATAACGGAACCATGCTAGACCTTACCTAGGGGTCCGGGAACTTGCACATAACACAGCTATGATCCTGGAAGGCTCAGAGAGGTAACTTCACTTTAGACCCCTGGTTCCTTCAAACAGCTCCCGGCATCTCCGGCAGTAAGCCTAACAAGACGCATCCTTCCAGGTATTTTGGGGTTGGATGTGTATGTAATGTGTCCCAATATGTTTTTCCTATCTTTTCCTCATCTTCATGGGTCTGAAATGGTTTGCCTGATCCTGAAACCGTAAGTATTCACCACAAATGCTATGGGAACATCATTTCCGACCCATCAAGATGGACCATTCCCAACTATACAGAGGAGAAACCATCACCATCAAGAAAGAAATCAATGATATGTGTTGATACCAATGGGTATTTGATTTGGAATCATGTCCACCTTCGAGGTATTTTGGGGTTGGATGTGTATGTAATGTGTCCCAATATGTTTTTCCTATCTTTTCCTCAGCTTCATGGGTCTGAAATGGCTTGCCTGATCCTGAAAACATAAATATTCACCACAAATGCTATGGGAACATCATTTCAGACCCATCAAGATGGACCATTCCCAACTATACAGAGGAGAAACCGTCACCATCAAGAAAGAAATCAATGATATGTGTTGATACCAATGGGTATTTGATTTGGAACCATTTCCACCTTCCAGGTATTTTGGGGTTGGATGTGTATGTAATGTGACCCGATATGTTTTCCAATGTTTTCCTCATCTTCATGGGTCTGAAATGGTTTACCACATCCCGAAACCATAAATATTCACCACAAATGCTATGGGAACATCATTTCAGACCCGCCAAGATGGACCATTCCCAACTATAGAGAGGAGAAACCATCACCATCAACAAAGGTATCAATGATATGTGTTGATACCAATGGGTATTTGATTTGGAAGCATTTCCACCTTCCAGGTATTTTGGGGTTGGATGTGTATGTTATGTGACCCGATATGTTTTTCCTATTTGTTTCCTCATCTTCATGGGTCTGAAATGGTTTACCACATCCTGAAACCATAAAAATTCGTTTATCGCAACCATCCATCAAATATGTTATTCGTTTATTGGTGCGATTATGCACCATTATGAACCATTACAATCCATTACTAAAAAAATAACATCGCCATTTTACCATCATCTTGTGACAACAAGATTGTGCCTTATGTCTCCACTGGTTGTGGTTGATTGATGTTGGTTGTGGTTGCTTGGTATGCGTTTGGCAACCTTTATTAAGGTTCCAAGGATGCAAAGGGTCTAGGATGAAGTTCCCTATGCAAAAGTTAAAAGGTCTAGAATGGGTTTCCCTCATGATAGCAAGGGTCTAACATGGTAGGAGGCAAAAGGTCTACAATGATTTTCAGACCATCTTAGACCTTCCATATTGGGAGCCCTAGGCAAACCATCTTAGACCCTCTAGTAGTTGAGGGTATTTAAAACCCTCATTGAAGATCTTCGATGAATGTAGAAGTTTGAAGGGGCTGGGAGAATTAAACCCTCATTGAAGATCTTCAATGAATGTAGAAGTTTAACGGGGCGAGGTAGTGTTCAGAGGGGGTCGCTGGCTTGATCTTCGAAGATGCAACATATATTCAAAGGGGGTGGCGGGGCTGATGTCTCAAGGTGCAACGTATTGTTCAGAGGGGGTTGGGGAGTTGATGTCTTGTGAGGGTGAAGATGCAACATAGTGTTCAGAGGGGGTTCCAGGGCTACTGTCTCAGCTTGTCCGGTGGCTTCTCGGCTTCTCGGCTTGTCCGGTGGCTTCTCGGCTTCTCGGCTTCTCGGCTTCTCGGCTTGCCCGGCGGCTTCTCGGCTTCGCGGCTTCTCGGCTTCTCGGCTTGCCCGGCGGCTCCTCGGCTTCGCGGCTTCTCGGCTTCTCGGCTTGCCCGGTGGCTTCTCGGCTTCTCGGCTTCTCGGCTTCTTGGCTTCTCGGCTTGTGCCGGGCTTCTCGGCTTCTCGGCTTCTCGGCTGTCTCGGCTTCTCGGCTTGTGTCGTACTTCGCGGCTTCTCGGCTTCTCGGCTTCTCGGCTTGTGTCGGGCTTCTCGGCTTCTCGGCTTCTCGGCTTCTGGTCGCATTTCTGGGCCCCTTTTGCCCGTGCTTTGAGTTTTTGCACACAGAAGCTTGAGACACAGGTGCGTTTACACAGAAAAGACTTTACACACAGAAAGCTTCTGCACATGAGAAGCTTTTCCGCTGCGCGGCAGACCTTTTCCACCCATCTTCCGAGGCACGTTTTGTGCTGCACAGCGAACAAATTTGTGCGTCCACTTTCTCTCAAATACTAATTTCGGGCGAGACTTCCCTCAAAAATTGGGAAGTTGAAAGTGTGAAAACGACGCTTTCGTGTGGGACATCCCTCAAGAACTGAAAGTCGAAGATGTGAAAACAAAGCTTTCGTGCCAGACTTCTCTCAAAAAGTGACGGTTGAAGAGGTGAAAACGAAGCTGAAAGTTGAACTTGTGAAACCGAAGCTTTCGTGCGAGACTTCCCTTAAAAACTGAAAGGTGAAGATGCAAAAAAGAAGCTTTTGCGCGAGACTTCCCGCAAAAAACTGGCAACTCCTAGATGTCAAAACGGCGACCCAACCGTTAGTTCCAATGCGGGGCTGACTCGAGAATGATCGCAGCATGATCAGAGGATGTCTCGCACACGCTGCGCGGGAATCTTTCGAGGCACGTTTTGTGTTGCCAAAAAAAAGGTTTCATGCATCCGCTTCTCTCAAAGAAGGATTTCGTGCGAAAAAATGGAAGTGGAAAGTGTGAAACTGATGCTTTCGTGTGGGACATCCCTCAAGCAGTGAAAGTCGAAGATGTGAAAGCTTTCGTGCCAGACTTCTCTCAACAAGTGACTGACAGTTGAAGGGTGAAAACGAAGCGTTCGTGCGAGACTGCCCTCATTAGGTGAAAGTTGGCTCATCTCATTCTCATCTCAACTCACTCTCAGGTTCACTCACTCTCAGATCCACTCACCTTCAGATCATCTCAGTAGCACCGTCTGGTGCCAGGGGGGTGGAACCCCTAAAAAAATATAATAAAATGCAGGGGCCTAAGGACAAAATGCCAATAAAACGAGAGGGCATAAGGTAAGATAGGAAAACCCAAGAAA